GATGGAATTTTTTTTAAGATATTTTATTTATTTGAGAGGGAGAGAGTGTGAGTGAGAGAGCACTAGCAGGGGGAGAGGCAGAGGAAGAGGGAGAAGCAACTCCCCCCTGAGCAGGGAGCCTGATACAGGGCTCAATCTCAGGACCCTGGGATCATGACCTGAACTGAAGGCAAATGCTCAACCTACTGAGCCACCGAGGTGCCCCCTGGATGAAAGTTTTACAAAGGCTAAATTTTTACAGTTGAAATTAGAAATTGTTTCAGTTAGAAATTATTTATAGCCAAGCATATTCTCTGTTCCTTTTTTGAGTATAAGCATATAAGAAACTCATAGAGGGCTAGTTTTCATTGTGAAACAAATAGTTCATTACATGTTTCATGTTTTAGGAGAAATTGTGCTAACTCCAAACAAAGGAAAAACTCATGTTTAACCTTCTGTTGAAATGTGTGTGAGTAGGTTATAGTGGTCTTTGAGGATTGCCTTATTGTTTAAAATATCCTATGGAAAGAGGAGGCTTTATGAAGTAATGGGAACATCATGGAGAAAGTTATTGTAATTATAATGAAACTACAAGTAATAAATAAACTTTCTCCATTGCTTAAAGGAAAAAGCTACAACTTTTCAGTTAAGGACCAATAGTCTCTGATTCACCTTTCTAGCATTAAAGACTACTATTGCTTATTTCTTTCTGTGCTTACACTCAGTATTTCTGACACCAGAAATGTGAATTTTTTTCCACACCTCACTGATACTCTAGTACTAGTGGGGTGTAATTCAGTTCAATTCTGAAACTCTCTACCTGATGTTAACTTTAGATTCTACAAGTTAAGGGCTTGCAGTCCCACAAGACACCCACACTTTAGATGCCAGTCATATGTAGTGAGTCTGCAGGTTCCTTCCATAAGTCTGTCTGACTTGGCTACAAATTGGGGGTTCCCAAAACCCCCTCTTTGAGTTTGAGAATTTGCAATAATGGCTCGCAGAAATCAGAACACTTAACATGTCCTGGTTTATTTTTTAAAAAAGAATATGATAAAGGATACAGGTGAACGGTCAAATGAAGAGGTACATAGAGAAAGGTCTGGAAGGGTCCCAAGCACTGGAACTTCTGTCTCATGGAGTTGGGGTTTGCCACCATACCAGCATGTGAATATGTTCACCAACTTGGAAGCTAGAGAATGCTGTACTTTAGAGATTTTTATGGAGGGTTGGGCAGGTAGGCATGATTAGATTATTAACCTAATCTCTAGCCCTTCTCTCCTCCCAAAGAAAAAAATCCTCTCAAAGTTCCAAGTTTCTCACCTTGGCTTGGTTTTTCTGGTTTTTCTGTTGCAGCATTCATCCTGCATCTATACCAGGAGTCCACCAGGACTCATCATATTAAAGCAAAAGATGCTCCTGTCACCCAGGAAATTCCAAATAATTTAGGAACTCTGTATCAGGAAATGGATCAGAGACCAAATATTAGAAACTAAAGTTATTCCTGGCATCTCTATCACTTGTGTTGCTCTTGGAATGGATTTACCTATGCATGATTTTATTACACCATGGAAAAGATTTCATTTTAAATATTAGAAGAATGTCTACATTATAAAACAAATCAAAATTGTTGGTATCACTTGATTTACCCAAAAAAGCTTTTAATGTTGGGAAAATGTGTGTGTAGTGGTAGGAACAAGCTTTCCAAAGTTATCATTTTTGCTTGAAAAGTCTGCATTCCTCATTGGCAACACATACTTTCATTTGTTCTCCTATATAGGTGGCAGGCTCACTTTGTTTATTCTCGAGAAGATATCTGCCAAATCCTGAAGTTTGAGTAATCATAGTTTGTAGTTAGTTTTTTTTTTTTTTCAAGTAAAAATAGTGTTCCATGAAAAAAAGATAAGCCAGTTCAATTGGCTTGCAGCTCAAGCATTGAATTAGTGTTTTCTCTTGAGCAAAAGCTTACTTTGGATGCAGCAGAAGTACTATGCATACTTCCTGTTTTGTCACATAGAATGAAAAGAATATGTAAGTCAGTGATTGAGATTTAATAAAATAAAATTTTCCCTTTTTATCAAGGATCTAAGAGAAACTGGCTTTTTTTTTTTTTTGGAATAGTGAGTATCAATAGTTGTAATACAGTACATTACTCAAAGAACTTGGTGGTACTGCCTTGATTTTTGCAAAAATGCAGTACTTTTATGCACTATTGTCTTGTATCATCAGTGCAAATATGACCACAGGAGAAAGGCAAATAACATCTTGATATTTTTATGAGAACATTTTTACTTATGGAACCCCCTTCTCTTTTAAGGATCATGGTGGAATCCCCAAGGCTCCATTGACTACTCTTGGAGATCTGCTAGTAGAAAGGAAAGATTCATAGTTTTAAGATTTAAGTTTAAAGCTGTCAACCATTCTTTATTCTTATGATGATATACTTCATTTCTCACAGCTTCAGTTATTTATGAAATAGGGTTAAAAACCTTGCTTTGTTTTTTGCATTCATGTTGCTTGAGTTACAATTAAATCATGAAAGGTCTAATTATAAGTTGTTGCTATTTCTAAGTGAGTTTATGCTTTAGCCAGTTTCCTTTACTTGTCAGACATGAAACAGTAAACACTCCAGATAGTTTCAAAGAAGAAATTTAATCCAGGGAATTAGGTTCTTAAAAAAAAAATCTGGATGGAGTGGAGGAGGGATCTGCAGCTTGTCCTTATGAAATGATCCCCAAATTCTTGCAGAACTGGCTAGCCAGGGAAGCTGTTCCCTCTGCCACCGTCAGGAAGGTAGTGTGACTCAGGAGGCTGTTTCTGGGACTACTGAGTTCAAAAACATACTTCTGGAGCTGCAGCCTAGAGAACAAGCAGGCAGGATTAGGTAACTGCTACTGAGCTATGCCTGAACATTGGAATGCAGAGTCTAGTTGCCCTTCTACTCTTGACATCCTGAATCTGGAAATTGGACACTGGAATGCTGTGTGGAACAACCTGTATCTGTCCAGTCATGCTGGAGAAAAGAGCCTAAAGCGGCAGGATGGCTTTCCCTCACTCTGCCTTCTGTATCCCCTGCATCCCCCTAATGTATCTAGCTGGTGGAACCTAAATTCTTTTCAGAACCATAACTGTCAGTGAATTGGGAAAATAGCTTTTTTTGTTTTAATCTTTCTAGCTTCTGTAGTTGAAGAAAGCACACTAGGAGGGTGAGGGAATGGAATCTGAAGGCTAATTAGTCATATCCCCCAAACTGATTTTTCTGCTTCTTTGTGATTTTCAAATTATTTATTTTTTTACTTCCATTATTCTCTCTTTACTAACTTGAGTTCTAGTCATTATTTAATGACCAAAATATCCTCATTTTTTGAGGCACATTTATGCCTTTCTAATCCTAGCTGCTTCATCAGTTTTTAAGTTGGACTGGATGGCAACACCCCTATGGTATCTATCCATGACTGTGATCTAGGTGGACTTGGGTCTTGTAAGTAAGACTTAGGAAATCTTTGGCCTGTCAGTATATTTAGGCATGCTCCATCATTTCACTAACCTTGCTATATACTCTGTTCTGCATTTTACTTGACTAAATTTTTTTGGACCCTACTTATTACATTTTCATAGGTTTTACTATACTTCTAAAGATATTTAAAAAACACCTTCCATAGCCAGCTATTATTTCTAATATTTTTTTATATTCTTTTATAAACTACTGTTCAGAGAAAAAAGTGTGGATAACATTAGAAGTAGACTTTTGAAACTATCAATATACGTTATTTCTTTCTCAATAAGTGTGGCTTATTCTTTTTGAGTAACTACATATAACTCTAGAGTTAAATGGTAAAATGCAGGCATTTTATTTCCTATCCCTACCCTTTTTATGTTTCCCCTCTTGCAAATTCCTTTTACAAGATTACAAAGAAAAAATTATTTTTTAATGTCTCAAATACAAATAAAATAAATATACAACGTATACAAGATACTTGTAAGCATAAGCCTAACCACACAAAGTTATAGCTTTTTATCTTTCTTATCATACTGTTTTGTATTCCTCTACTTAACAATATATTATGGCTCTTATGATAACGGGTGTATTATTGCCATCTTCTGAGTGAAAGAAATAGACCAATATATATTGGGAAATTGGATTAAAAAGGTTTTCTTGAAGGTAGTAATAATATCTGTGGCCTCTGTTCTTTGGAAAAAGAATACTTACAGCATCAAGACTATTTTCTTTCTAACAAAAGAAGTTGGTATCATGTATTTGTATATTTCTTTTTATGAAATGAAAAGTTTTATTTATTTATTTTTTTATTTTATTTTTTTTAAAGTTTTTTTTTAAGTTTTTTTTTTTTTTTAAATAAGAGGACTGCATGTTCATTGAATATTCAGATGGTAGAGAAGTGTTTAAAATAGAAAGTGAAAGGCCTTGTTACTTCCTTCCTCTTCCCATAACCCTCTTCTTCAAAATTAACCACTGTTAACAGTTTAATACATTCTTCTAGTCTTTACAAAATGTATAAATAAGCATTTATGTATTCATGGTCAATTAGGTTCTGAAGCATAATTTTTGAGATCTCAGTTATTATTATACTTTGTTAGTTAATGTCTGGGTGGTAGTATGCATGAACTGTAATGTGTGTATATTTGTATAAACTTCAGAAAGCATAAATGTAAATGTTTAATTATGGTGATTTCAATTTTTGTTGGTAAAAACCTGTTTTTAGTGATCTTTCTACTTGTTAGCTTTTCATCAGAGGCTTCATAGCAAACATGGAGATTCCTGTGCAGTGAAAAATATTTATGCTCTTTATGTTTTAGGCATATTTTGTAGGGAAGAGCATTAAGTTTTCAAATATAACCAATTTAAAATTTACTTTGCATTCTCTTCAGAGAGGCTCTTATGGAGAATTAAGTTGGTGCTGACTTTGGTTTGAAAGGATATATTGCGTATAGAATCCCCATGATAAGAATTACCTTCATTTTGTTTGACTTTTAATTTTGAGAAAGATAGTTTTGCTTTTCAGATGTGATTGATCTCACTGGAGATGATAAAGATGATCTTCAGAGAGCAATTGCCTTGAGTTTGGCGGAATCAAACAGGGCATTCAGGGAGACTGGAATAACTGATGAGGAGCAAGCCATTAGCAGGTAAAAACATAATTTGTATAAAATAGATATAAGTATTCCTTATAATAGAAATAATAATTGGCTTTAATTTCAAGAGGCACAGAGATATATTTTGTTATTCTGAAGAAACCCATTAAGAAACTTTAGTATTGTTTTTATATTTTCTGTAACCAAAGTTTTCACATTCTAGTTCTGATTGATTTGGAGCTTAGATTTTTAGGATTTTGGAGTGGCATTATGAGGCATTAAATTTAGGTGAATATTTTAATACTTTTTTATTTTTATTTTTCTTCCTCTAATTTCTTTTGGATACATTGTCCCATTTAGTTTGTAGTCATTTATAGCAGAGGTTAGCAAACGTTTTATGTAAAGGGCGAGTAGTAAATATTTTAGGCTTTGTTGGCCATATGGTTTCTGTCACAGCTACTCAACTCTAATATAGACTCTAGTATAGTAGTGCCAAAGCAGCCATAGATAATACATAATTTAATGAGTGTGGCTATGGTCCAATAAATCTTGTTTTAAAAAACAGGCTGCCAGCTGGATTTAGCCCATGGGCCTTCATTCTCCATCTTCTGATCTATAATATAATAGTTTACTTACATTTTTTTTTTTTAAAGAAATTGGCAAGATTCCAAAATGTGTGATAGAATGCATCCTTTGATTTAATAATGAAAACTTTTTAGTTTGAAACATTTTGATTTGTTGATGGGTCAAATAAAAATAAATTTATCAGGAAACAATGTTGATTTTGAAAAGTCTTTAAAATATAACTATAATCTTCTGAACAACTCTATGGAGGTGTAGTGGTAGCTATTTTATTGAAGAAGAAATTGATCTTTTAAGAGGTTGAATGATTTTCCAAAAGTACACAGCGAGGGTAAATCTTATGACTCTAGAGTTTTTTTTCCCAATAATACAAGTTGCTTGGAATATAACAGCTTTCTCAGATAATTTCCCTTACCATGATATCAGTAGTATATTTCTTTCTAAGTAATCTGAGATTATTGTATGGCAGGAGAGGTCTCAAAATGCTATGTTTAGCAAAGGCACATAATTATTTTTAGTAATACTTTTTAATGTCTTTAAATGTTACTTTGGAAACTTCATAAAACATTGTATTAAGAGGAGAAGACTTAAAATTCATTGTCCTCTCCAGTTGGGTGTAATATCAGTTAATGCCAGTAATTCTAAATGAAAAAACAAAAATTTATGGATTATCTTTAGACATTGTAATTAGGCTTATTTTATGAGGGATTTAGAGAAATTGTAAAATTTGATTTGTCTCAAAAAATGAATTGGAATGAAATAATTGTCTTGAATAATTATAAAACTTGACTACTTATGCTTTGATCAGAAATATTTTAAACATGAAATACGTGAGTTGGATTTCATATTTAAAGGAAATGATCTATTATATGTAAAAGATTATAGAATAGAATATATGCTGTGATTCAAATCTTGTTTTTAAAAATATATGTATATTTTTGTTTAAATGAATTTATATTAGTATACAAAGAGAAAAAACTGTGGAAGCTTATATACCAAATAGTGTCAGTAGTTTTATATCACATGTTTTTAAATTAAAACAGCATGTTGTAATTAGTTAATAAGTAAAAATAACTTGAAAGTTAAAGTATTAAAATTATTCCTAATCTGTTAAGTTTAATGTATTCATTACATATTGTTCTAGATACTCATTTGTGTCCAAATGGAAACAAATATCTCTTAAGATAGTGTTTTTTTATTATTGGTCTTCTAAATTTTAATATACTCTTAAAATAGTGAATACTTTATAAATATTTTTATTGTACATAACATGCAGATTTGGTGTAGTGTAATAGAAGTAAAAACTTCTATTAATTTACTAGTACAAAATAAGTTTTTGTGGTATGTAGATTTTATAACTTACAGTTAACAAAATAATGTTAAATATAAAATGTGCGGTTAATAAGACACGTAAATCATACTGTGTCAGAAGAAAGGAATGTGAGAATTCTAGCTAACCCTTTGGTAAAGAGATATTTGTTCCAGTGGGTTTTATTAATAGGCTTAGGATTCTAAATTCAAAAGGGGAAATGATGTATTTTTAAGAAAAAGTTTATATATCATGCTCAAAAGTAAATATAACTAATTATACATTACTTAAGTTCACATAACAAAATTTTGCCAAATTCCTAGAATCATTTGATGATAGTTATATTTTAGCAGACATACTTTGATATGTATTCATACATTTGGAATACATTATAATTATTTGAATTACAGCCTATCTTTTTATATCTTACAATCTTCTGTTCAGCCACTCACAAAATTATGGTGAAATTTCTTAAGAAATTGAATATTTTATAGTGTCCTTCTTAATATAATTACTCCTCAATGTCAGGATTGGATGTATTTATTATAATTATTTCATGGTTACTAAGGCTTAGATGGGGAACAAGTACAATATGGATAACTGAATTTGCTAATAAACTACATTGTAATTGATTTGTGTCTGTGATGTGTTTGTTGTGAAAATGACTTGCTTCACAAAATGACTTTGAATTAGTTGCGTAGAGGATCGGGCTAGATTTTAGTTAAAGTTGTTACATACAAATCTAGGTATTTCGAGAAAAAATATGGTGGTCTAAGAAATTTTCTGATGAAAACAGCCAGAGTGTACTATTTGTTGTACATAAATTATTTTAAGATCTTAGCAGTATTCCAGAATTAAGATAGTAAAGACTAAAATCAAACTACTTCAGAGTGAAAGCAGGAAACCAAAGAAGTAAGTTCAGAACACTGAAAGTCATTTCTTGACGTGATATTTACTTGTGTATATAAACTTGAACTTCAGTTATGATATCCTTGTTGAGTATGGGGAAAAAGAAGTCAGAGGCCATGGTCTATGAAGGTCTGGAGCTTTAATAAGAGATCATTTCCCTTATTAAGTGGTTATGTCAAAGGGTGACATATTTACAATAAGAGTAGATTATATGTATCCCCCCACCCCCAGAACCTTAGAGCATTGCAAAGACAGTTGCTCTTGCTCTGAGGGGAGCAATTAGAGGTGATAGGACTTGCCCCTGCAAAGTTGTACCATGGGTTCACAGCTGAAATTTCTATCACTTTAGTAGTCTAGTAATTCTCAACTTGGGAATTTAGTTATTGTTTTTTTTTTAAGGTGCTAATTCTTTATTGAGGAATATAATATTACCAGGGAAGCAAAGATAAAGTAAAAAGGGAAAGAGAGAAAGCAAATTCAAGGGACTATGCTACTCAGCTTGCCACACTTATAAAAACAGATAACCAAACAAACAAAAATGTAAATACTGTTGATTGCTTGGTCACACTAAATGTCCCTAGGGGAATTTAGTTTTATATGGTGTTGGATTTATATTGTTTCTAGGTCCTAATGGAATCAAAAGTATGTTGTCTCTCTAGGAAGGTTTCTTTATCCTTGGCCTCAAAGAATCCCCTTCAGTAACTTTTGAAGCTCTACTGGAACCACCTATGACAATTACCACACACACTTGGAAAAAAGTCACTATGAGGAGCAGCTAGAACAATAGGCAACAAAAATCAACAAAAATGCACCAAATATTTAGATATTGTGATGGGTAGAACTATGCTTTAGCTTTTAAAGGCAATAAGAAATAAGAAATTCTTGAAAATATGACCTAACACATTTGAAAAACAGCTGAAAATGCCTTTTGGAAATGAAAATTAGAATTACTAAAGTAAGAAAAGAAAACAGTATAGGCTTAATAGATTAGAAATAGCTAAAGAACATATTAGATTAGAGGGGGTATATAGGAGAAGAAATTCTACAACTTGTAACAGATAACTGAGAGAGAGTTTGAGAGACATGGAAAATAGTGAGTAGATCTAACATAGTTTAATTGGTATTACAGAAGGAGAGGAGAGAGTGAGCCAAAGGCCAATTTAAGGAGTGAATCATTGAGGATTTTTCAGAAATGGGGGGAAAAAAACCCTATAATTTTACAAAACCCAACAAATCCTAGTCAGGAAAATGAAAAGAAACTCACCCCTGGGTTCATAATACTGATAACTCTGGAATGTCTAAGACTGAGAAAATCTTAAAGATATTCAGAGAAAAAAAGTGGAATTATCCTTAAAATAGTGACAGGAAGGGTGATGAATGACACAAATTGACACAAGACTGTCAATTAAAATAGTTGCCAGAATTCTATACTCGGTGGAACAGTTCTGGGGAGTCTTACCAGGGCATTTTTCTTTGTGATTAAGCTTCCAGTTCTGAAAGACTGAAAGACTACTTGTATAGCCCCCACTGCTACAAAAGCAGTATGTCCTATTCTGGTAGTTGTAATTTTACCTTTTTTTTTTTTTTTTAAGATTTTATTCATTTATTTAGAGAAAGCACAGGAACAAGGGGAAGAAGGGGAAGAGGGCAAGCGCACAGGGATTGGGAGAGTGTTTTCCCAGTCGAATGTGGAGGCTGACATGGGGCTCCATCTCATGACCCTGAGATCGTGACATGAGCTGAAATCAAGAGTTGGGTGCTTAACCAACTGAGCTACACAGCAGTTTTTTGGTAGTAATTTTCTACTTGAACCTGACCTTTCTAGAATGGTAGGTCCAAGAGGAAAAAAAGGTATTTTTATAGAATTACAAGGGACTCATTGTACCTCCCACTTTGGCCTGCATGGCCACTTAGAGGAACTGGGTGAGTAGTATGCTCAACCAACTAATCATTATCTTTACACTTTAAGACTATTCAGTCCAACAAAGAAATCCAGGTGTCTGAACTAGAGTTGAGTTTGGGAGCCACCTGGAAGGTTTCCCAGTCAGAATGGCTTGGAGTTGTCATTAGGGGAAAGAAAAAAGCATCATGTCCAGGAATGGTTAGGGTGGGATTCTAAATTTTTAACGTAGGTTTCTGTAACTCCCACCCATTTCACCCTAGTCATTACTTGAAAGCTATTATGAGAGGAAATTGCCTTGAGAAGACGTGTTGAATAGGAGTAGGTGACGGAGGCAGTTACAAATCGTTTTAAGTTGATTTGTGAAAATAATTCAAGGGCTTAACAATATCAGATGCCTGCAGATCTTAGGAGATCCATACATAGAATGCTTATTATTCCATTTTTTGAGTAGCTCTTATGATAAAAAGGTACACCATTGTCAGATTATAAGTGGTTTGGAAAAATTGAAAATATGAAACAGATTAGTTTCAAGGGCTGCAAGACTGTGGCCAGAATTGACTGATAAGACTGGAACAGCAAAATTGTAACTTGAAAAAGTGTCAATAATGAGGCACCACTGATAGTCCCAAGAAGGGTTGGAGTGAATAAGGGGAGAGGTAGGTGGTCAAAGTTTCTATGTGTCAAATCTTACAGATTTGTGCAGGAGTACATGTCTGACAGGCAGTGGTAGCCTCTCTTAATGTTACTCAACATATGATTGTAGGTATGTTGCCTTGTTGGGTATGATGGTAGACACAGCAGTGGTGGTCACTGGGGTAGTGCATACTGGCTGAGTCATCCCATTAGAGAACAGGGACCACTGTATATATCCATCACAATGGCTAAAATGAGAAATATAGACAATACCAAGTATTAACAAGCATGTGGAATAATTGGAACCGTCACATACTGTTTGAGATAATGTATAATGGAATTACCACTTTGGAACACTGGGAATTTCTAATGAATTTCAACAAATACTATTCTAGTGCTGTTTCCATCTCTAGGTATAGACCCTTGAGAAAGGAGTACATTGTAGCTTTATTGATAATAACGAAAAGCTATAAACAAAACTGACACAAAAGAGTAACTGCTGCCTGAGTCCATGTATGTGTTGTTTAAGGACATGCAAAACAAATTTATGGTGCTAGAAATCAGAATGATGATTTTCTGGAAGGTGGAGAGGAAGGACATTGTTGGCTAAAAAAAGGGTATTAGAGAATTTTCTAGGCTAATGGAACTTTTCTATATCTTGATCAGGGTGGTGATCATATGGGTGTATACATATGTAAAAAGTTTCACTGAGCTGTACATTTAAGATTTGTGTATCTTATCATGTACAAATTACCCTCTACAAAATACTCTTTCCAAAAACGTGTTTTGAACTATGTTTGATAATCAGCATGCAAAATTATATTTCTATGTATAAAAAAGAATGATGGAAATTTTAAAAAGCTACCATTTATAACATAAAACTGTGAAAGTCCAATAATAAATTTAATGAATATGCAAGAACTTACCAAGGAGAAAATTGGAGGATATCACTGATACATATTAAAGAATATGTAATTAATTGGAAGCATACTGTATTTCACAAATTGAAGGACTGAACATAGTAATTTTTTTTAGAGAGGGGATGCACAGAGCAGGGAAGGGCAGAGGGAGAAGGGGAGGGAGAGAATCTTAAGTAGGTTCCACGCCCATTGCAGAGCCCCACATGGAGCTCAGTCTCACAATCCCTGAGATCATGACCTGAGCCCAGAGCAAGAGTCAGACTTTTAACCTACTGAGCCATCCAGGAGGACTGAACATCATAAAAATGGTCAGTTCTTCTTAAACTGACAATGGGTTTACTGTTATCCTAATCATACTATAACTTTTTTTAAAAAGGATATCAACAAAACGATCCCTCTCTCCCTTTTTTGTCTCCCTTCCTTCCTTCTTTCTTATTTTCTTTTTCGTTGGTCTACAGCTTAAATAATACGTATATTTTTCAGTGAGTATGATGTTTCCCTAAATGTACTTAGATGATCTAAAGTGGGATGTTTTCAACTTTACAGCTATAATGCAATTTAGGTAATTTAAATAACAATACAAACATAAAACTAGCATAAAAGCCCAAAGAACAAAACCAGTACAATAAAAATTTAATGGGAAGGTGAACATTTATCATAAGTAAGTGCTTTAAATATTCCATATTGAGTGTGGAAAGAAAAGAGCAAAACATTTTGTCATCCTTTTATGTTGCTGTGTGGTCATGACCAGTGTTGGGAAGATAAAGCAGGTGATGGGTAGTGGGAATTGCTTTTTGTTTTGTGGCTTTTGGGGTTGCCTCTCTAGGCATGCTATATTTTGTTATAAGCTTTTTCTGAGCTCTCTGAGATTGGTGTTGTTAGTTTTTTTTGTTGTTTTTTTTTTCTCTATTGACAGATTTAATACCTGGATTTGTAGCGGTTGCATACTTTATACTTTATGCTTCAAAGCCTGGTTAGTATCAGAGGCTTTGCTTTGGTGAGACCAGGGAAGGAACCCTTAGGTAGCACTTGTCTTTATAGAAAGTTTATATTCATTTTGCTAATCCTGGACTACAGAAGGTAATGGGGGCTTGGAAATAGAATAATATGTGAGCTAGAGGTTGGGCTTTTGCTAAAAAAAAAAAAGTAGCAAAAAGGTAGCAACCTCTAATATCTTAATCATCCATTTACTTCAAACATTTGTTGTGGCCCTAGTATTTATCATATATGCTTTAGGAATAAAACAGTGGGTTTCTACCCTTCACATGCTGACTAATAAATAATTTTGGTACAATATGATAAATGTATTTATGGTTTTTTAGGAGCCAGGAAGAGATGGTAGTAAACTTACTGAAGCCTGTTTTAAGTCCCTGGTGATACAAAACTGAACACTCTAAATCAAGAAGATCACAAAAGTCATGGTGTTCTTTTATCCACCATCTTAAAATATGATAGTTCTGCCATATGATGTGGCTAAGGAATATTACAATAAACCTATTTCTTTAAAACTCATATTTTTGTTATAATGAATGATGAGATCCACCATATGACTGAATTGAATATATCTTTTATATATGACCACTGGTGCTAATTCTTCTTTCCTGTTTGTGGTATTGTTGCTATTTTCCCCAGAATTCGTGGCTTTTTAATTTCACTAATCTCTAATTACCAAGGTGGAAATAGGTTTCCTTTATTTATACTTTTAAATATACATAATCCCTACAAGAAGAACAAAATTGTCAAATGAAAACATACATTATAAAAGTCAATGAAAAATATATACCTTCATATATACAGCAATCTTTTGTGTTTTGACTTTTGTATACTTTGTATTAACTTTTCTCTCTTGAGCATAAACGAGTTGCCTTATACAAAATCAGTTTGTTCCAGTTTATTATTATTATGCTGAACTCTACAACTTGAACAGTAGGAAGTCTTTCAGGTTGCCTTTTTGACTTTTTATTTTCCCCTTACGTTCTTGAAAACTCAGTAACAGTGGATGTTCTAGATAAATTCTGATTTTCTTCTGCCCCAATTCACCTAACTAAATATCTTCCAAGGAGTTATTATACCTTTTAGCGGTAAACAGTTTACAAGAAAAAGCCTCCTAGGGGCTGTGGTTGACGTGAGAGCTGAATTTTGGACAGAGACTGCAGCTAATGTTGGATCACCTTTAATAGTTACAGAGGTGTAAACTGTTCATTTTTAAATGTGTGAGTTTACTTTGATCTTTGCATTATAAGATATACCATGTGGTTGTTACCTGCTATTTTTTGGGATGTGGTTTCATTGATTCCCAAAGAATTTATCCTGTATTCACAGTTATTTTAAGTAATGATAAGTTTGAATCCTATTCCATTATATCTAACATCATGTTGAAAATAATGCTGTTAGAGATAAAAGTATAATTTACTTTTTCCCCATAATTAAGGAATATAGCTATATTAATTTGACATTAATCTGATAGGGCAGTTTCTGTAAAATAAGGATGGTATAGCATGAATGAGGTTTTCTTAAGCCAAAATGTTAGAAAAACTCATTCTTGCTGAGGTTTTTAAAATTAACACAAAATCAATTAAGACACCCGGATATTACTTATTTAGAGTAGTGAATAATACATGTTTTGAGCAGGCAAAATGTTTTGTTAGTTCAAATATGGGAAATGACAATTTTCCAGCATGTTGCAGTGTGCTTAAGAAGAACAACATGCAAATGCTACTTTGAGCAAAGTAGCATTATTCTTGCCATGTTTAGATGCATTTAAGATGTTGTATAGGTCAGCTTATTTTGAAGAGATAAATCTTTAAAATTTCTGGTATGTATGTAGGTCAACTTTTGGGTAAAGAAGTAAAGACATAAATATTCTCTTTAGTTAGCTGTCATAGAGTTATAGATCTCTAGAACTGAAAGGAACCCTAGAGTTTACCTTAGCTTTTTAATTTTTACTTATATATTCATGAGACACACACAGAGAGAGAGAGAGAGAGAGAGAGAGAGAGAGAGAGGGGGGTAGAGATACAGGCAGAGGGAGAAGCAGGCCCCATTGAGGGAGCCTGATGTGGGACTCTATCCTGGGACTCCAGGATCACGCCCCAGGGTGAAGGCAGCGCTAAACCACCAAGCCACCCCAGGGTCCCCTAGTTTTTTTTTTTTTTTTTTTTTTTTAATAGAAAAGGAAATTAATGCTCAGAGGAGTGAAAGTGCAGTTTGTTCAGTTTTTAATGTTTTCCTGATGATTCAAAGCAATTGTTATAAAAAACCAGTCACTATGTTATTTTGTAAATATTTGCTATAGTGATTTCTTAGAAAACTTACCTAGGTGCTGTATTCCTGGTACTAAACCTCAAATTTATTCAAATATATTTTCTGTTTTATAAACTGTTTCTTTGCATTTGAGATTTCCTTTTTTCTTAGGAAAAAAGGCTGCATGTCTCTTATTCTGTTTGGCACTACTGTATTCTTAAAACTAACTTCTACTTGAGTAAAGTTAGTGTTTAATAGTATTTCCCCAAATACATTATCCAGAGCTTAAGAACTAAAATCCTAGGGTATGGCACTAAATTAATACTTTTTTTTTCTTCTTTTTTTTTTTTTTATCATTTTTTTCCCCATTGCTTAAGAGTTCTTGAAGCCAGCATAGCAGAAAATAAAGCGTGTTTAAAGAGAACACCTACAGAAGTTTGGAGGGATTCTCGAAATCCTTATGATAGGAAAAGGCAGGACAAAGCTCCTGTTGGACTAAAGAATGTTGGCAATACTTGCTGGTTTAGTGCTGTTATTCAGGTAAGGATCTTGACATCTTACTTGGTGGGCATGATAACAATGGGAAGTGGGTTGCAGTTGTGTTTCTTTCAAGTTGTGTACTTTAAACATAAATGCAGGCAAGGTTTTCATATGCCCTTCTAACAAACTAGTTTGTAGATTGTAGTACTCCTAACTTCTCTCTTATCCTTACCCCCCAGGATGGGGTTTTAACAGTGGAGTACTGCCTATGCCTTTCACTTACTTGGGATTAATCTCTCCTCCCTCCCTGCTGTTAGGAACTGTTGTCAGAGTGTAAAGAGTGAAAAATGTTTTTGTATGTAATTCTCTGCACATTTTGAGAAGGAGATAACCAAGATATGAAATCAGAACTATTTTTTTTATTAATCAAATCAGATTTATTGTATAGTGGAATGTTATTCATAAAATTATAGTCATTTAAATACTCTCCTTAATAAAAGGAGGTATTTTGTTTGAGGAATATGTGAGAATGATGTAAAGAATGAACACTGATAATCAAAAGTAACGCTTTTTTTTTTTTTTAACTTGGAAGGTCCTTATGAAATGTTTCTTGAGACCCTTATTCTAAAATGAAAAATGTTTATATGCATAGTTATGCATCTTAATGTGGATTAGTTTTTTTTTCACTTCTTTTATGAGATAGGACTATTGTAATAATTCTTTGTCATTCTCAGTTAGACATTGATAATGTTATTCATCAGATTACAAAGCATTAAATTAAATGATTTCTTTAAAACAATCTGTGATTAACTCTTAATTTTTATTGCCCTTTAGGAAAAGATTTTGTTTAATTTTCCTAATAGTTGATTTGTAACTTACTATTTAGTATTCCTAATGAGTGCTATTTAAATAATTTTGTATGCCATTTCTTTTTATATTCAAAATTTCATTCTGTAGCCTTCCATGCCTGGATGTATGATGGCATATGCATCTTTGTGATATTAAAGCAACTAACTGATTATTTAGTTCATTTGCTATAAGATTGTTAATTGTGTTCTTTAGGTAATTAATCTGTAGTTTTAATTTTTTTCTACTTCATTGTTACAATTTCCAACTTTCCCTCTACTTTTTTACTTGGCACATAATACCATACAATTTGATTTCCTTTGATTTTCTAGATTTATGTCTCACTCTTTAATATTCTGTGGTGTACACTAGTTAGTAATATACTATTTTGTTTTTCAGGCTATTAAAATGTTAGGGAATACTTGAATTAATATAAATCTGTAATACTACCTTTGTTCCTATCCTTGATTAATTATTCATGAATATTTAGATATTCAGAATATCTAAAATTTTATTAGTCCTTTGTCTTTATTTGCACTGTTAGAGTTTTTACATTTATTGTCCAATTTAAATTTCGTGATTTAGACATTATTTAAAAGTATGAAACAAGGTTTAAGGCTGTGATACCAGTCTTTATGAATACACTTTGCTTCCTGTGTTTGGATAAGTAGATGCTATCTCTGCACTGTAACGACCAATTAATGAAGCTCATTGATTGGAAACCTCTTAGAAGAAACTACTTGCAAACAATCAGTATTTGTTAATTAAAATAGGTGCTTTTTATTTTTCTACACTGTATTTTAAGAAAGGTTTGTTTGAAAGAATTAAATTCATTCTAACAGAAATGAGGATAATCACTTTTTGTTTTCATAGCATAAACTTCTTTTAGTAGTTTAAATTAGAAACAGTTGTACATCTATTTCTACTCTAAGTGGCGTTTGCTGATCTTAGCTCTTTACTTTTCAAATTTTTGGTGTTTTTTGGTGGGAGGAGAATGGAATGGAAAAAATTGCTTGTCCTGTATAAAATTTGAAATAATTTTACTGACTTCTAAATTTTACCTTAAATTAGTGGCTGTTTAACTGGTAGCATAGCTTTACCACACTCCTAACATAGGTTAAGTATTGGGTTCTTGGGATTGTTACTATTATATTTTTTTATTTTTTGGAAAAATCTACATACCTAAGAGAAGTGACTTCTAGGCTTGAAAAGCTTGAGTTATAGTGAAGTGTTAGATCACTGGCTTTGGGTGTGCGAAAATACATTAAACTTCAGGTTTGGGAAAATTGTGGGTGGGAAGAAAAATTGTCAAAAGATCACTTCAGGTTTTTTTTTTTTACTGTAATTTTACTGTATTCTAGTTTTTAAGTAGCTTTTTATTTTCATCTCAAATAATTAAAATCTTTTATTTTTTTCATTTTGTGACATTATTGTTTAAATCCACAGATGCTATCTGAGATGTAAAAGTTTATCATCATAAATGGAATTTTTCACCTATGAAAGAAAAGTTGGGCAGGAAATCTCTGTTAGTTTTGGAAGTTTCTTATTGTATTTTCCAAAGTGAATTGGAACTTGTTCAAACTATGACGTAAATGTACTGTAAAGTTTCAATTACAAAATTTTCTCAGGGATGGAGTTTACTTAGTTGGCAGGACTAGTGTGAAACAACTGAGACTTCTTTTCCTTGTAAGTATATCTGCCAATTATAGAAAATTACTTGGATTATAAACCTTTAACTACAGAATGAGTAGCGGGGTTAGGCTACAGAGGATACAGCTTTATACTTATATTTTTTAGGTACTGGGACCAATATTTTGAGAGAAAAGGTAAACAATATCAGAAAGGGACTATAATTTAGGAGAAGATAGTACAGAAGATTATTTCCTGGTATGACTAATTATGACTGATTTGAACGCTAAACATTTATTTTTATGTGAAAAGTGAATACAATTAAATAATCTTTTGGATGGTAGCAATATTAGCAATAATACCCTGTTGGGCATTAATACCTCATCTAGTCAGGAGCATTTTTATCCTGGAACTTATACCTATAAAGGACTAATGGGGTCAGCTTTTTCTCCGCTAGGATATCAGTGAATGAGGTACCTACTTAAAATAGACTCTTCTCTTGCTATTTTGGGGTATAATTCATAGATTCTCATGATGATCCTTGGCACCTTTCCCATTTGGATGTTGTTGAGATGCCCAGAAGTAAGGTGTTCATACTTCTGAGTTGCCTTGTACGGCTCCAATTTACTTCTGTTGTAGATCTCCTGGTGCTTGTTAATAAATTTTAAAGCTCTATTTCAGACTCAAAAAGGTTGTGAATTGGAAGATAGAGGATATTGGTCACCTTACTCATAAATCATGTAACTCCAGATTGACTAAAATACAAGCATCCTCAAGGCAGAGAATATATCTTCTAGGTTATTGTTTTATACCAGTATATATAGTACAGTGTTTGACACATTGGTGGAGGCCTTTAAGTAATTACTACATAGGTAAATGAATGAACCAAAAAGGGGCATATGTTATTTATGGTTGAATTAAAGACTTCAGGATGCTTCTATCACCCTAATGATGAATGGGATTGAGAAGATACTGCAAGTTTTCAAAAAATGCTAAGATATCATTTAACATGTTTATTCATATCAGTTGCTCTTAAATCTCTAATTTTCATCAAAGAATTTAAGGTACCTAGTTCAAAGAGAAAATAAAAAATTCATAGCAATAGAAGGCTTATAATGAAAAAAGGCAGTAATCTGCCCCAAACCTCCCTGTCCATAGTCTTGTTCCTTAAAGCAACTACAACCTGCTCTAGCTGTTTTTCCTTTTATCTTCATTTTTCTAAATGACATGCCTTTCTGCTGAGATAAATGGAAATTTAGCCGTCTCATTTCATATACTAGAATTGCCTTTCCTTTCATTGCCAGCATAGTTATATCATAAATTTAAAATAATCTGTAGTTAGTGTTTACATTTTCTATGACTTTGTGAACATTACAGTGATTTACTGGGAATAGCCTTTTGTAATCCTTTTTTTCCTGGAGTTTTCAGGTCCCACTTTTTTTCTTTCTATTTTCTATATACTTAAAGTTTTCTAAATACTGTAGTATCTTTGATATGGTCTTACTAATAATATGTTCTGTGTGCATGAATATATTACCTCTGTTCCTTCCTTCCTTCCTACCTTCTTTCCCCTTTCCCACAGAAGGTTTCTCTGTCTCAAGTCCAAACTGGATTTCTATTCTTTGTGTTTAAAGCATGAGTGCTGGCTTTCCAAAGCAGACCTATGAGAAAAGAGATTGTGGGAGGGCTGATTGGGGATCACTCTGCATGGTTTTTACTTAATCCTCCTATTCGTAGCCCTGAATTTCATTCCTTTCAAAATTATGACTGATTCTTCTGAACTTGAATTTGTTTATTTCAATTATATCCAAAGACTAAATTTCCTATATCCCACAGGAGGAGGTGCTAAGTTGTCTGACTCTTATGTATCTGGGAAGGACATAGGGATTTAATTGCTCTGTATATAGATTTTTATCTTTTAATCATGCTGTTTCCAGTCCCTACTTTACCTTTAACTTTTGTGATACTTTCCTTTTTTTTTTTTAATCCACCAAGGAGAATTGATCTTGCTTCTCAGTATCTTCATTATAGACAGTTTATATCCCTTTGTTCTCTTGTCATCATTCTTTCTTTTCCACAAGTTATTTGAAATCTCATCTCTCCTAGCTTTCTGTTATTAGCAAGAGTTTAGCCAAATTCCATTCTGTTAAGTGCTCTTCAAAATATACCTTTTAGCTTTGGATTGAATGAAAAGGTGCTTGTTTTCAGGGTACATCAATCACAAACACAATATAGGTGGTAGTGACAATTACTCTTTACCACCTTTTTTGAAGAAATATGTTGATCAATACTGTTACGACTGTGATTGAGGATACAATGTTTATGACTTAAAAGCATTATTTTCCATGATTTATTGTAGTGGTCACAAGTTCTACTTTGGGTTATAGCTTATTAGGTTGTTTTAGACCATCTGCCTAGTCGTATTTTGCTGGAACCCAACTCAACCAAAACAACAACAACAACAGCAAATCAACTTTTGAAGACTATGTCACATAACACGAAAGCAGTGTGAGATTTTGAGGCTAAGCTCCGTGAGAACGTGATTTTCAGAATAAGCTTCATATTTTGGGCTGACTTTATCCTTGAGGCAGTTCATATATTGGGCTATTGAGTGTTTAGGAAGGTAATCAATGCTTTGTACAGACTTGGAGCAGACCTTGGACTTTCATTAAATTCTAGAGGACTAGAACCTTGGGTTAATGAGAACTTAAAATAGACCAGTCTTCATAGTTTTTGAATCCCAGCTGCATCTCAGAATTGTTTGGGGTAAGTTGATCTGGGATTACAAACGGCCCCAGTTTTGCCACCTCACAGAAGGAAATGTAAATTCCATTAAAAGGTAATATCTGGAACATAGAATTTTCTCCACTTTCACATAAAAATAAATATTTAGTGCTCAAATCAGTCATAATTAGTCATACCAGGAAAGAATATGTGTCCAAAAATTAAGATAAAATAACTAGCAATATGAAACCTGAGAATTGGATTGGATAACTTAATATGGTCAAGGAATTAAAAGATTGAGAATTTCAGTAGAAAAGTAAACTATAAAAAAAAGCAAAATAGCAATTTTAATACTGAAAAATATAATAAAGTTAAATCAAAGAATGACTTTAGTAGTATATTTGACATAGCTGAAGAGAGAATTAGTCAACTGGATAATTGGTCTGATGAACATTTTCAGACTAAAGCTGTGAAATACAGATTAGAGCATATTAGAAATATTTTGGGCATGGTGAATAGTGCTAACATAGTGTTATGTATAAAGGGAGAGTATAAAGGGAGTAGGGCAGAAAAAAAAATTGAAGAGATGACTGAGAATATTCCGAATTTGATAAACGAGATCAAGCCACAGACTCTAGAAGCAGTAGGAATCAAGTAGCATAAATATTAATAATACTGTGTCAAGGAAGGCACATCATAATAAAATGAAAAAAAAAAAACTATAGACAGAGAAAATCCTAAAAGTAATAACCAGGTGGGAAAGATGTACAGACATATCTTGGAGATATATGGAGTTTGTTCCATATAATCACAATAAAGTGAATATCTTAACAAAATGAGGCAAATGAATTTTTTGGCTTCTCAGTGCATATAAGTTATGTTTGCATTATTTTGTAGCCTATTTAGTATACAGTAGCCTTACTACTTAAAAAAAAAGTATGTACTTTAAATAATTTGTTGCTGAAAATGCTAATTTTTATCTGAGTTTTCAGTGAGTCATAATCTTTTTGGTGTTGGAAGATCCTGTTTCAATATTGACAGCTACTGACTGACTAGGGTGGTGGTTGCTAAAGGTTAGGGTGGCTGTGGCAATTTCTTAAAGACACCAGTGAAGTTTGCCAGGTCAACTGAATCTTCCTTTCACTTGAATACTAAGAGGGCATTGAAGGGTTATTAATTGACCTAATTTCAGTATTGTTGTGCACCAAGAAATAGAGAGGCCTGAGGAGAGGAAGAGAGATAGAGGAATGGCTAGTTGGTGCAGTAATCAGAACACATACACCATTATCAATTAAGTTTGAAATGTTTTTGGGAATGATTTGTGGAGCTCCAAAACAATTACATTAGTAATATCAAAGATCACTGTTCATCGATCACCATAACAAATACGATAATAGTGACAAAATTTAAAATATTGCAAGAATTACCAAAATGTGACACAGAGACCCAAAATGAATAAATGCAATTGGAAAAATGGTGCTGGTTGACTTGCTTGACACAGGGTTGCCATAAAACCTTCAATTATGAAAACACTGTATCTACAAAACACATTAAAGTGAAGCACAATAAAACAAGGTATGCCTGTATCACCTCTATAGAGAAGCAAAATTAAGACCAACAGCTGACTTCTCAATAGAAATTCTGTCATTAAAATGGTAGAAAAAAATAACTGGCTATCTAGCATTCTATAACCAGCAAACATCTTCCAAAAATGAAGAAAAACAACTTTTACTATAACAGAAGCTGAAATAATCTGTCACCAGCAGACCCACACAAGAAGAAATTCTAACTGTTCAGGAGAGTATTCAGGAAGAAGGAAAATTATCCCCAGTGGGAAGTGAGAACAAAGAAGGGGGATTGGGATTATCCCATTTTGTCCTTATTCTCTTTCTATTTAAATTTCTCATAAAAACAGTCCATACTTTGTTGCCTTTATATCCCATTTCTTCAGTACTCATTGCTTGCTGTTCTTCTTCTACCATTCTGCTGGAAAGATGACTTCCCAACTGCCAAATCCAAAGGTTATTTTTCTGCCCTTTATTGGATTTGGCAACATTTAAGGGTATAGATGGCCTCCAATATATTGTGATTCAATTTATGATTTTTTGACTCATGATGGTGAGTAAGTAATATGTATTCAGTAGAAACTGTACTTTGAATTTTGATCATTTCCTGGGCTACCAATACACAGTACAATATTCTCTTGTAATGCTGGCTCCTACTCAGGCATGTGATAGTGAGGTTAACTGATAGATTTATGATTATTTTGTACCCATACAACCATTCTGTTTTTCACTTTCAGTATAGTAGTTAATAAATTACATGAGATATTCAACACTTTTGTTATAAAATAGGCTTTGTGTTAGATCATTTTGCCCACCTGCAAAGTGTTCAAAGCACTTTTGAGGTAGGCTAGGCTAAGCTATGATGTTTGGTAGGTTAGGTGTATAATAAAATGAATTTTCAACTTAATGGTATTTTAAACTTATGATGGATTTGTCCCATTGCATACCAAGGAGATCTGTATTGCTAATCTTGTCCTTTTTGAAATTTGCCATTGATTCTTTGATGTACTTCAGAGTTTTCTGTGGTACTTTATATCTTTGTTGAAAAGCTTTTGGCATAGGTATTTTTTGAAGTTCCACAATTACTCTGATACACAGCTATATTTGAAAGCTCATGTTTCGGGGGCAGCCCAGGTGGCTCAGTGGCTTAGCGCTGCCTTCAGCTCCAGGGCTGATCCTGGAGACCTTGCGTGGAGCCTGCTTCTCCCTCTGCCTGTGTCTCTGCCTCTCTCTCTCTCTCTCATAAATAAATTAAAAAATACATATTTTTAAAAAGCTCATCTTTCTCTACTCCTTTTTCTTTTTGATTACATACTCTTCACTTTCCATACTATTCTTACTTTGTCAGAAACTTGAGATATTTATTCTCTGCTGCCTTTCTTGTGTCTGCATGTAGTGGGTGCTCCACAAATATTTGTTAAATGACTGAGTAAATGAATTATCTCATGTGTTCATATTGTTTAATTAAATATTTTCAGATTATAAGATAACCAAAATATTTTCCTACAGTTTCTGTTACCAGCTTTTATGATTTTTCCTTTCATATTTAGGTTTTTAAACCACATCATATCTGTATACGTAAATCTGACTGCCATTTCTTTGTCTATAGTGGGCCATTTTTCCCAACACTCAGCTCCTAAATAAAACCTTGTTTTTTCATTGATTTGTGGTGCTACTTTTATCTTCTATCAGGTTGGCTTACACAGCTTTACTAGGACCTCTACATTATTGCCTCCTGTACAGTGATTTTCAAGGTTTATAAAGTATGACTCCCAGAAGGGAATACTTTTTCTGTTGTAGAACACTTGATACATCTATGTATATGTATAATATGTACAATGAAAATATTGAAAACAGTACCCGTGATGCATTCACTATGTATAATGTGCTTTAATATTTTCAATTGTATTTTATTTTGTTTTTTAAATAAATATTCACCATGATGTCAATGTGTTACAAGTTCCAAACTTCCTAGAACTTAAAAAACAGTTCTAGGAAGCCTTTGCATGGGCATCTTTCATATGTTCTCATACTCTATGAGATCAATATTACTATGTTGGAATGTTTCTATTGTTATAATATGTGTCCTTTCTAGACTGTGTGTCTCCTTGAGCATAGAGATAATATGTAATTTCTTTCTATCTCTGTCATTTAGTAATGGGCCCATAAATTTATTTGTGCTATATTTTTGTAGAATTGACACCTCAAGATTAACTTAGTGAATATATCTAAAAACTTCTAGACTTTGCATTTGTGTACCTTTTATTTTGAGGACACTGCTTATTAAACCCCAAAGAAAGACCACCTTTAATAATATATAGTAGGTTTTTTAAATTGTCCACATGTAATTTTATGCCTTCCAGTACAATAAGTATTGTTAATGATCAAGAATAATGTGTCAGTATATAAGAAATTTTACATTTTCTCCAGGAGAAAATAGGTCTTGTGCTAGTGGCAACAATCCTATGTATAAGTAGTATAGTCCAAAATAAATCTCTGAGACCAGTCATATTTTTATAGTTCTGTTAATAGAATCTTCCCTTAGGTTATCTGAAATTGTTGTTCTTTTTCAGTCATTATTCAATCTTTTGGAATTTAGAAGATTAGTTCTGAATTACAAGCCTCCATCAAATGCTCAAGATTTACCTCGAAATCAAAAGGTAAAATGAAAGATTTTTAAGCAAAGTAAATGTATTTGTGTGTGTGTGTGTGTGTGTGTGTGTGTGTGTGTGTGTCATCCTATTCTTTTATCTGTGTTTAGTTTGGGGGCCGTTTGTCTTATCAAATCTGAAACCATTAAATTTGAATATCAACCCATTAATCTTAGTTACTACAGTAACTTTCTATTCTTCATCAATAGATTATAAACACGAATGTTTCTTCACATGGTTGTCAGGAATATGCCAATTTTTTGTGTGACTTTAGTAATTGTTTTTTTTTCTTTTTGGACTGTCAAATTTCAGTTAACTTTATAGGTTTCAATTAGTAATTCAAGATCTTTCTTCAGTCGCCTCCTGAAAAATTGTGTGGAAATAGAAATTTTTTTCAACTGTTTGTGTAGATGAGCCTTTTAAAAGGCTGGCTGTCTTTGCAGTGCAAATCTATAACTTCTCTATTTTGTAAGTTAATACTGTTAGGCAATATAATGTGACAGAGTGCACAGATAATCAGGGCTAGATTGCCTGCGTGTTTTGGCTTGAACCTCGTTTCCTTATTTGAAAGGTATAAATAATAATAGTCATTATTTTATAGAGTTGTGAGATTTAAATGAGATAAAACGTACAAAGGGCTTTGAAGTGCCTAGTACATAGTAAGTACCTCAGATGTTAGTTACTCTACTTATACTAGCTTTTCAAAAATAGGACTGACCGATGCAGAAATTTATACTTAGTGGAAAAATTAGTTATGTTGATGATGTGCATGAATGTTAGGGCTTTAGGGATCTTGTCATAAAGAAATTGTAGCCCTAAAGGGGACTGGTTGCGCAAAGAAATTAAAGTTTTCGGTTTCAGTAAAGTGTTGAATTTTGTGTGACTTATTGATAATATAAATGATTCATAATTGAATCTTTTTTTTTTTAGTGTGTAATTTGAAAAGGACTTGTTTGCAACATGAAACATTTATAATACAAACGAGTGGGAATGTAACAATTTAGAGCTGGCTTTTCAGGCTGTAATCTTTGAGCTATAAAGTATCAGGCTGGTAACAAGCCATTTTCAAAAAGAACCAAGATCACCTGCAGACCTCCAGAAAAATTCAGCAAAACCCCTTCACTCATTACAGTTTTTCCACGAATTTTTTTGGACTGTTGCTTCCCTTGATAGCAACTTTTTAATAATCACAGTTCTGTCTTCTGATATCTTAGTTGAAGTAGATTTATAATTTACATGACATTATTTGGAAATATTGCTTCCAATTAGATATTTATATGTATCTTGACCTTTTTTGTTTCTGGATTTTAGGGCTTGACAGAATTTTAATTTATTTTGTTCTTCAAAATGTTAATTAAGACCAAGTCAATTTTATAATCCTTTTTAAGAAATCAATAGTGATATCCATGCCTATATAACAGAGCTAGTTTTAAGATATTCAGTTGAGTACTAGGGAAATATATAAATCCAATCTTTAGCACCTTTCTGGGGAAATTTGTTTTCTTGCAATGGAAGGAGCAGCATGTCCAGAGAGACCTTTAGGTTAAGGAATTAAAAGGATCTCTACTTCCATTCTGAAAAGGACACTTATTTAGAAGAATTCTGTACATTTTTATTAAAAAAAAAAAAAAGGTTACACAGGGCACCTAGGTGGCTCAGTGGTTAAGTGTCTTGTCTTTGGTTCAGGTCATGATCCTGGGGTCCTAGAATAAGAATAAATAAATTAAATAAATAAAATGTTAAAAAAAGAGAAGGTTCCACAAATGAGGTTATTCTTTAATCTAGTGTGGTGACATCCATACATACTATAACTTGACACTTCTGAAGCAAACATGTGGGACTTAGAGATAGTTATCAGCCACTGATTGATGCTACATTCAACTGAGGTGATAAAAGGCATATATATATTTTTAAGATTTTATTTATTCATGAGAGACACACAGAAAGAGAGGCAGAGACATAGGCAGAGGGAGAAGCAGGTTCCATGCAGGGAGCCCGACGCGGGACTTGATCCTGGGACCTCAGGATCACGCCCTGAGCTGAAGGCAGGTGCTAAACTGCTGAGCCGCCCAGGGATCCCCAAGGCATATCTTTTTAAAAGTGTATCAGTGTGACTTCTTGCTGTTATTTTTAAATAATGAACAGGATTTTTTTTAGGATATTTTTTATCATCAGGTAAACCAGTCATAAATATATACATATGGAGTTTTTTAAATCAGTTTCTATTTTAGGTAGACTTGGCTATTGCTTCTAGAGGTTGAAACTGGTTTTATAGAAATATTTGTGGGTTTTTTGTTTTGTTTTGTTTTAAGATTTTATTTATTTATTCATGAGAGAGAGAGAGAGAAAAAGAGGCAGAGACATAGGCAGAGGGAGAAGCAGGCTCCATGCAGGGAGCCCGACATGGGACTCAATCCTGTGACTCCAGGATCACGCCCTGGGCCAAAGGTGGTGCTAAACCACTGAACCGCCCGGGCTGCCCTATACAAATATTTGTAATGTTTATAGTTTTAACGACTGGGAGAATTGTGAGGTTACTAAAAATTTAAAGATGGATTCTCACTGTAAACTATTCCTCCTCACTCCTACACATAGAGTCTTTTGGCTTACAAAGTCACAAACTGATAAGAAAACATGTTAAATGTTGAGAAAACAAAGATGCATAAGTTCATAATAAAGGTAAGTTCCACATAAATAACTAAAGCTTTACTACTCATAAAGTTATATTAATTAAAGTCTTGATTTAAAGGCAAATATTTCCAAATAAACAATATTTCCACGCCTTCCACTACTCAGAGCTGAGAAACATAGGAACAGGAGAATAGTTGAATACTACTGGACAAATACCTGAAGGAATTTTGAATTTTACAAATAACAGAGGCATTCTGGAATTTCTGTCTTTAGGTATGAATAAAGTAATAAGATTGAATTTACAAGTTTCAGTAAATCTTAAAGGATTCCAAGCATACAAAGTGTTTTCTGGCTACAGTGGAAGTAAGATGGAATTTGACAACAGATTTAGAAAATCCCCCTGATAGTGGACATTCCAAAATTAGAGGATGCAACCAAGGCAGTGGTTAGTGAAAAAATATTTAATAGAACCAAAAGCCGCTTCCAAAGATCAGTAAATTTATTGAATTTCTAGGTAGATTGAGCAAGAAGAAAGAGGGAAGAAACAAATCAGTATAAAGAATGAAAAAGATGGATATCACTACATATTATCTAGACAATAAAAGAGAATAGTGGAATATTATAAATAGACAATATCCTTATATTACATTTAAAAATTGAATTTTTAGTTAATTTACTCACCAAAAAATTCAGTGAAGTAGTTTACTGGTGAATTATATCAAACATCTAAGGAAGAAATAATACCACTTCTCTATATATTTTTCCAGAAAACTGAAGAAGATGTAGAACTTACCCAATTCATTCTATGAGCCCAGCATTACCCTGAAACCAAAATAGAAAGAGATGTTTTAAGAAGAGAAAACTAAAGACCAATATTCCTCATGAATATAGAAGCAAAAAAATTGTAACAGATTTTTGGCAAATTGACTCCTGAAATATCAATTAGGGGATGCTACTTCATTGGCAACTGGGTTTATTTAGAACTTCAAGATTGGTTTAGTGTTCAAAAATCAATGTCATTCACCACATTAATAGGCTACAGAAGAAAATATGATCATCTAAGTAGATAAAGAACAGCAATTTGACTAAAGCTAATGTGTCTAAAATCTCACAGAAACTAGAAATTGAAGGAAGCTTTCTTATCCTGATAAAGATTGTTATGAAAAGTCTACAACTAATAAAATACTTAATAGTGAAAGATTGAATTTTTTACCCCAAAGATCAGGAATAAGCAAGGACATCATCCCTCACCACTTCTGCTGAACAGTAGACTGGAGTTCTTAACCAGTGCTATAAAGGAGGAAAAAGAAGTAAACATGAACATTGGAAAGGGAAGAAAAAAAAGCTTTTTTTTTTTTTTTTTTTTTTGTATATATGACTTAATTGTCTATGTGGAAGATCCTAAGTATTAAGAAGGAAAGTAAATAAATAAATAAATGATGCTAGAACCAAGAAATGAATTCAACAAGATTACATGATAAGAGAAGAACATGCAAAAATCAGTTGCATTTCTGAATATTAACAACACACATTGGGAAATTTAAATTAAAAATATATACAGTAGCATAAAATGTGGACTATTAGGGGTAAAGTTTTATGGAAAACCACAATATATTGCTGAATTTAAAGAAGTAGATATATTATGTTCAAGGATCAGAGGATACAATATTGTTATGGTATCAGTTATCTCCAATTTTAATCTAAAGATTCAGTGCTATCTCAATCATAATCCTAGAAGGCTTTTTCATAGGAATTAACAAATTGATATAAAATTTATGTAGAATATCAAAGAATATAGGGTAGCTATAGTAATTTTGAAAAGAAAGGCAATGTTGGAGGTATCAACTCTCAGGCACTTTTATTGGTGAAAAGTTAGTCCTATAGATAAATGGAACAGATAGAGTCCATTGAAAGGCAATGTTGGAGGTATCAACTCTCAGGCACTTTTATTGGTGAAAAATTAGTCCTATAGATAAATGGAACAGATAGAGTCCAGAAATAGACCTATATATATATAGGGTGAGTTGATTTTAATCAGAGTTGACAAAACAATTCAATAGGCAAAGGAAAAATCTTTTAAAATAATGGTATCATAGGTAGATAATCCTTAGCCCTTACAGAGCATATTCATTTATTTTTCAAATATATGAAAAAAATAATGATGGATTATAGATCTAAAAAAATTAAAAATGTAAAAATTCTTGAAGAAAACATAGGAAGTTAAAAGATTTCTTAAATGGTACAAAACAAGGGCACAAATCATAGAAGAAAAATTGATTGGATTTCATCAAAATTAAAAACTTGTAATTTTTGAAACATTTATACAAAATTAAAAGTTAGGTTACCACTAGGAGAAAATACTAGCAAAACATGTATCAGATAAAGGAATTGTATCTATAATATATACAGAACTTGCATAACTCAATAATAAAATAATCTATTACTGTATTGGAAAAAATATTTGAACAGATACTTCACCAAAGAAGGTATAAAACTGTAAATTAACTACATGGAAAAGTGCTGAACAGTATTAGACATAGGAATATGCAGATGAAAACTAGAGGTTTCTAGTTTTCACTAGAAACCACTGGAAGGACAGGTTAAAAATATATTCCATAGCAAATACTGTAGAATGTGGACCTAGAACTGCCATTATGCTATTAGTGAGAATATAAAATAGTATAACACTTCTGCAAAAATAGTTTGGTTGTGTCTTAAAAACATCTACATACAACCTAGGTCCTCTCCAGGTTTTTACTTAAGATAAATGAAAGCATAGATCTGCACAAAGACACTTTAATATCCACAGCATCTGGAATAGATCACTTGATAAATAAGTTTGGAATATCCATACAGTGGAACACCACTGAGCAACAAAACAATGAATCGTTAATGCATTAACGATTAATGCACAATCATATAGAGGAAGCTTAGAATAATTACTATTACTTTATTATTATTATTCTATTCTATTTTAAGAAACCAGACTAAAATGAGTACATAGGGTATGGTTTGATTTATATAACATTCTAGAAAATACAAAGTGACCATGGTTGCTTTGGGAAGATCCTGGAAGGGGTAAGGGTTGAAGAAACTTGGGGAAATAATGGATAGTTATATTATCTTTACTGTAGTGATGCTTCCATGGATGTGTATGTGTCTGAAGCTCATAAAATTGCATACTTTATAATCTACAGTATATTGTACATCAATTATACCTTAAGTCATTTTTAAAGAAGACAGCATGTGATTGTATTTTTGTAATTTAGACAGATGCTAAATTTGGCTACATTTAACATCGATTACAATTTTGCCTTTTGAAATTCAAAAAGATTTTCTAGCCATGGAAATTGGCTGAGAGCAAAACTGTTTCATTGTATTATATACATATTAAATTACTTTTCCAATATGCTTCTCAGCAAAAATTCACTTATTTTTTAAAAGTGATTTATTTCATCCTTGGTACATAGAAAGGGATGTCTCAACTGCACTGATGTAGGTGTGGTGATGAAAGAAATTGATCTCAGGAAATTAGGGGTATTTTTGGAAATTATATTATGAATTGAAATTCTTTGTATTTATATTTTTAACACCCAGTATTTATATAAGGCAATTGGGGGAGTGTAGGAAATACAACAGAAAAATCATAGATTAGTTTTCTTTCAATTAAAACTTTTACATTTAAACTTTATCGTTGATGATGGAATTTTTTTTTTTTAAGATTTATTTACTTATTTTAGAGCGTGAGTGTTGGGGGGAGGGCAGCATGAGGGGCAGAGAGAGGGAGAGAGAGGATCTTGAGCAAACTGCCTACTGAGCTTGGAGCCCTTTGCATGGCTTGATCCCAGGATCCTGAGATCATGCATGACCTGAGCCAAAACCAAGAGTTGGACACTTAACTGACTGAGCCACACAGGCATTCTGGTGATGGAATTTATTATACTTACATAAAACTCATGTTTCCATAAATTAATATTTTCATTCAGATCACTTTGTGATTGGTGTAGTGGTGTATCATTTTTGGATCAAATGACAAGTATGTGGAGTCAAATATTTTATTCCTTTACACCTATTTTTTGGGACTCCTTTTTTTAATACATTCTAGGAACAATTATTCTGTATTGATTATATTATTCTGGACAGCATCTATACACACATACAATACCCCTAAAGTTTTATGACTTTGAGAACACCAACCACATAGTCTTTCTTGGAAATTATTTTCTAATATTTAAATAGATATATAAGCTCTGTTAAAATTATTACTGCAAGAGCTAATATAGTAGGAACTGCTTGTTACCATGAATTATTTCACTGAGGTATGTGAATCACATTCTTTAAACAAATTTTTTCTTCTTGTATTAAAATAAATTGGGCAAAAAAAATAAAATAAAATAAAATAAAATAAAATAAAATAAAATAAAATAAAATAAAATAAAATAAAATAAATAAATAAATTGGGCAGCCCCAGTGGCGCAGTGGTTTAGCGCCGCCTGCAGCCCAGGGTGTGATACTGGAGACCTGGGATCCAGTCCCACATCGGGCTCCCTGCATGGAGCCTGCTTCTCCCTCTGCCTGTGTCTCTGCCTATCTCTCTCTCTCTCTCTCTCTCTCTCTCTCTCTCTCTCTCTCTCTCTCATAAATAAATAAATAAATAAATAAATAAATAAATAAATAAATAAATAAAATCTTGAAGAAATGCAGTCTTAACGATGTCAAACATCTCATAATGTTGCCCATTCAGACAACTTATCCCTCTGTGCTACTATGTCTCTGCCTCTCTCTCTCTCTCTCTCTCTCTCTCTGTCTGTCTCTCATGAATAAATAAAGAACATCTTTTAAAAAAATAAAATAAATTGTTTATGATTGATAACATTGGGTTGTTGGTGTTTCTAGAGGATTTGGTTCAATCATATGTTCATAAGAATTGAATGCCTGCTTTGTGTGCCAGGAAGTTATGGAAGAAATATAGAAGTTCTTGTTTTTGAGAAGTTTACAGTCTTTTTTTTTAATATTTTATTTATTCATGAGAGACACAGAGAGAGGCAGACATAGGCAGAGGGAGAAGCAAGCTCCATGCAGGAAGCCCGATGTGGGACTTGATCCCAGGACTCCAGGATCACGCCCTGGGCCGAAGGCAGGTGCTCAACCACTGAGCCACCCAGGCGTCCCAATAAGTTTACAGTCTTATTAAGAAACAAAAGCTGAGATTTCAAAGGAAAACTAGAAGGATGATACATTAGTTTAATATTAGGACTTACTCTAATTACTTATTAGACTAGTATTGTCTGATAATTAGGGTCATCCCACGACAGTGCCAGTTAGTGATTCATTGCTGAGTGAAAGACATCTGTTTTAATAGATGTGGAATTTGAAGGAATCATTGACTTGGAGGGGTCTGGGAAAGCTTCATGGAGGAGGAGGGATCTTTGTTTAAATGGGCTTATTGAGGAAAAGTACTTAAACAGTGCCTGGCACCAAGTTAGCACTCATTGAATGTTGGCTGTTGTTATTGCTGTCCACAGCAGCTGGGCCTAGCTGAATGGAAAGGATTATAATAAATAGACTTGAATGAGGAGAGGATATTCTTGGCTGGGTAATAACATGATTAGCTATGATAATGTGGCGTTTGTGCTGAAATTGTGCGCTAAGCTAAGCTAGGTCCTCTATTTTTGTGCTGGACTCCTTTGAGTGTCCTAGGTCACAACACTCTTCTTTAATTATGATATGGGAGTGCTGGGCTCCTCCCTAATTGATATTAGTTAAATTTTTGATTTGTTAAAATGAATATCTGTTTCACTTACGGGTTTTTTCTTCTCCCTAATAGGAGCATCGGAATTTGCCGTTTATGCGTGAGCTGCGGTATCTATTTGCACTTCTTGTTGGTACTAAAAGGAAATACGTTGACCCATCAAGAGCAGTTGAAATTCTTAAGGATGCTTTCAAATCAAATGACTCCCAGCAGGTAGCTTTTTTTTGTACTTACTTGTTTATTAATATTTGTATTTTATTTGATCTGATCATTCCTTAAGCAGTTTTTTCAAAGACACATGACAAAGATATTGTTATTCCTCTTTATTAAAAATAAGTTGTAGCCATTTAAAACATTGCTTATTTGGAAGATTTACTTTTTGTAAGTTGAGAGAAAAGTAACAGTGATCTTGGAAAGTGTTAAGATAAATGAAACTGTAATTTTTTATTGTGATGGAAATTAATAAGTGAAAACAGTGGGTAAAATTAGGAATGTTCAAAAATGTTGTAAATCTTCACAAATGTGATAACCCAAGGCCAGTATAGTATACATGCTTTTGGTATGCCTATTTTTGTTGGTATGAAGTAGTTTTCTTAGTTACTCAGAAAAGGTTTCTGAACTACATTAACTTTGTTATTGTTGCTTTTATTTTTCAGTCTTTGTATAGTGCTATTTGGTAGGGTTTTTTTAATCCATTCCTTAAAAAAAGATAATTGGGAATTTTCTTATAAAATAGAAAATGTATAAACAAGCAACATTTTCACACATAATTTGAGAAGTTAGAGAAATTTTATTTTATTATTTTACTTTATTTTTTTGAGAAGTTAGAGAAATTTTAAAAGAGGGAAAACAGAAAAGCAAAGAAAATAGACTAGTAGCAACAGTGTTGGAAGAGATGGCAGTGAGGAAGCAAGGGGTGCAAGACCAAATGTCTCAATAGATTCATACAGCTACTGCACTTGTAGCGCACTTTTTATGGTACTTGGATGTATCTGGTATGTGGATGTGTAGGAACGGTATTTGGAGAGGGGTTCTGAAAAGATGTGTAATTCTGCAACGCCTGCCTTCCCCATGTTGTTTTTGTTTTGTTTTGTTTTAATTCACCTTTTATGGCAAAGACAAATGAACAAAAAAGGTGCTCACGTCAGGATTTGCTTTGATTTGTTGTTTTTATTTTTTTGTAAGGTTGGGGAGAAGAGGGAGAGGGAGAGAGAGAATCTTAATCTTAATCCATGCCTAGCATGGAGCCTGAAGTGGGGTTCTATCTCACCACGCTGAGATCATGACCTGAGCTGAAATCAAGAGTTGGATGCCTAACTAACTGAGCCACCCAGATGCCCCTGGTTGGTTGGTTTTATAAAAAAATTTCTAACTAAGTTTCAGTGCTGGTTAGGTTTAGTATCTTACTCTTATTTGTTAAAGCAATACTTAACAAGTAAAAAGAAATACTATTCTTAAAAATGATCTCAAACCCCCATTTTAGGGTACTCCTGGTTTTAAGTGTCTTTTATTTTTTGTAGCACTATTTATTTAATATGTGCATTATAATCTCTAATAGCTTTGAGTATAAAATTAAATTTTAAAAAGTCGCTTCTCTTCCCTGACTTATTGTTTCTTATGGAATTGCTTTTTGTATGTTTTTTTCTTGGTTACTCTCTGGTGTTGAATCTTTTCACTATGAAGAGTGGTCTTTGTGTATCTCTTCATATGTAAAAATGAGTTAGCAAAAGTTTATTGGGAACCTTATATGTACACAGTAGACTTTTCAGATTTATTAGGGTAGACAGGGAGACAACTAGCTGTTACAGACTCGAATGCCACAATGTGAATGCTATTACTTTGGGTTGGCAGTGTAGATAGACTAGGTTTCTTACTGTTCATTCTTTTTCTCTGGAGGCCTTTTTAGAGTAGGTGTATGTGAATTCAGTTGATACAGGTTTGATTCTCTTCTACTCCCAGACACATTTGAATAGAACACACATTAGTGACAGAATGGAATAAATCCATGAGTAAAGTAAACATCATTTCTTTTTAAAAAAATGAACTTGTACTTATATTTCATAGTCTTCCTAAATATATCATATTTTGGAATATGCAAGAATCTTGTGGGATACTTTGGTATATAGTACTGTCAATTTTAATCATACCTATAATTGAGTTTAAAATTAAAATGTAGTAAAGGCCTTAATTTTTTTTTCTCTTGAGGAAAGCAGGTAGAATTATTTTGTAAATGTTAATTTTAGATTGCTTAAAATAAAGACAAGGAATAATTCATTCTGAATAGTATTTTGATAACTAGGAAACAGTTTTTTGTTTCTAGTCAGATATAACCTTGCAGGATGAGTAAAGTTACAGAATTTTAAAGTTATGGAAAGTTGTTTTAATGTGTTTTGTGAGTTTGCTATGACAGCAGTAACAAATTACCATAAACCAAATGATTTCAAAGCAATAGAAAATTACTCTCTTAACAGTCTAGAAGCCAGAGTCTAAAGTAAAGGTGGTAAAAGGGCTGTGCTCCCCACCATGGCCCTAAGGCCGAATCCTTTCTTGCCTTCCTTCACCATCTTCTGATGGCCTGTGGTGTCCTTCGGCTTGTGGGGGCATAGCTTCAGTCTCTGTGTCCTTTACATGGCCTTTTCCCCTGTGTGTCTTTGTGTCTGCTTCTTTTCTGTTTCTTATAAGAATACACATCCTTTAGATTTAGGGCCCACCCTAATCCGGGATGATCTCATGTTGAGATCCTTACCTTAATTATATCTTCAAAGACCTGTATTCTAAATAAGATTACATCCTGAAGTCTCAGATGGGCATATATTTTGGCATGCTGCTATTTAACACACTACAGTTGGTATGGATGTTTATGACTGGATTTTTGTGCTGAGTTTAGTTTTTTTCTTTTTCTTTTTTTTTAAGATTTTATTTATTTATTTATTTATTTATTTATTTATGAGAGACACAGAGAGAGGCAGAGATATAGGTAGAAGGAGAAGCAGGCTCCCTGAGGGGAGCCTGATGTGGGACTTGATCCTAGGACCTCATGATCTCAACCACTGAGCCAGCCAGGGACCCCTAACTTACATGGCTTTGGAACAATTTCCTTAAGCTTCTTAGATCCTAGTTTCAATATTTTATTTTATTTATTTTTTTAAAGATTTTATTTATTTATGAGAGATACAGAGAGAGAGGCAGAGAGAGACATAAGCAGAGGGAGAAGTAGGTTCCATATAGGGAGCCTGATGTAAGACTCGATCCTGAAACTTTGGGATCGTACCCTGAGTCAAAGGCAGACACTCCAGCACTGAGCCACCCAGGAGTTCCTAGTTTCAGCATTTTAAAGGTGATTGACCCAGATGCTCTTTAGAAAACTTGTAGCTGGAAAAATATATGATGGTTAATTTGTTTAATATTTGGGGCAATTTTGATTAATAAAGGCACATTGTTTACACTGATTCATGTGTCTTTGATGAAACAGTCTTAGTAGGATTGGTTTATTTTTTCTCCTAGGTTCTCTATAGATGAACCTATTTTTTGTGTTCTACCTCAGATTATTCAAAGAATTATGGTAGTTGACGAGTACAACTGCCACCCTCTTCCTGTTTTTCCATGTTAGGGGAACTACGACTGGAAGAAGGGGTGGCAAAAGGTGATGTACGTGCGCTAGTTCTGAAGGGGTAATTTGAAGTTCATGAGATAGTGGACTCGATAGGGAGTCAGTGATTGGACTAAACCTGACAGGATTAACATATCTTCATAAAAGTGGATGTGGCTTAAAAAGTTGGGTGTAAGAGTTGAATTAAGAAAATGAATTGCTGAAAAGCATGTCTTCCTTCTAAGAGAGAAGCCAGTAACAATTCCTTATATGATGAAGAACTCTTTGGTAATGTGGGTCTTTAATTTTAAAAAGATTCGTTAGAGAACTCGTTTGGGAGTGATGCTTATTTTTAAAACCTTATTTGTAAGTTAGAATTTATATATATGTGTGTATATATAATATTGTATGTATTATATACATATGTATGTATGTGTATATATATAAAATATATATGTATATATAAATATGTACATAAAAATGTATATATAAATTTCCTGTAATGAAACCCAGTCATTGTGATTATCCATATAATGTTTGTTTTTCTCAGATACTGATTTTATTCTCTTGTTAGGTTAGGTTATAAGTATTTCTTGTATTTGGTGTGAAACATTTCATATAATATTTCTGTGAGGAGTCAGTAATTTTATGTTTTATGTGACTGGCTGTAAGTTTTGTATTGCAATACTTAGGATTTTTATTAGCAGACTCAAATATTAACAAGACTTTTTTTCTTTCCACAGCAAGATGTGAGTGAGTTTACACACAAATTATTAGATTGGTTAGAAGATGCCTTTCAAATGAGAGCTGAAGAAGAGACGTAAGTTACCATGAAGTTTAGTGATGGGGTTTTCGGAGATTGATAAATAACACTCATTTTTCTCCTTTTATTTATCAGTATCTATGGAGAAATTGGAAAGAAACCGAGAGATGTGTAGGAACCCAAACATTACCTGTATTGACAAGTTGTTTGAAATCTGTGGCTCAAATGCTGAGTAGCTTTAGATTTCCATTATAAGAGTAGAATCCAGCCAGAAAGATTTAAAAAGCAACCCTGAAAGGGCTAATTCCACATGCCCACTTCTTTTCTTTGGATTCAGCAGTCTCTTTTCATGAAGAGGAATGGGTTAGTGAGTGGTGGGGAAAGATACCAGGAGTATTACTTCTGATGATCTCCTTTCACATGGAATCATAACAACAGGGATATGACAGTCCTCCTCAGCATTCTCTAGCTTTTTATTTTCTGCCCATCAGATTGAATCATTAAGACTTTGGTTATTTAAGAAATCTGCAGACTTTCAAGATAGTCCTTGTCCACTCCCATGAGGCCACTATCCTAATAGTAACCACTAGTTCCTTTATGTATCTTCAAGAAACACTGGTGGACCACTTAGAATTTACCACTGTGGGCTCTGATATGGTCTAACAAGATGCAGTATGTAAATTAACACCTAGAAATTTTGGAATATGTTGTAAACAGTAAATGGTTATAATTCTACCTGGATGCCTGTCATTGAGGGCCAGTTACTTGCAGGCTGTTATGTGTGAACTTAAACTAAGTTGGGAGCAGTCTCTGAAGAAAGTAATTATGGTTCGAAGTCTACAGTATTTGAGGAAAAAAAATTATATTTTTGGTAAATTTTATCTCAGAGTGAGACATTTGAAAGCTGCTTCCTTCTTGAAAGCGTATTTAGAAGTTTATGATGTTGACAGCTGTAGTCCTCAGTGTCTTTCCTGTCCACCAAAAGTTTTAGTTGCATTATATGACCTTCTTCAGTTTGTGGCTCTGAGTGCCTCATTGAATGACTTATTTTTGTGCCATGGTGGTTGTGCCCACTGCCTTTTGCTATGGAATTGCTTAGGCCTGGGAAACCTGCCTTTAGGTTAGTTTCTTTCTTCTCTTCATGTTAGCTTCTCTCTTCATGTTACGTTCATCTGGAAAGTCTTCCCCATCAAACCTCTGGAATGAATCTGCTGTTGCTGCTTGTGAAAGCTGAGTCTTAGCATCCAGTGAAGATACATTCTTTCCTCAGCTTTTGAATGTTATAGGCCTAGAGTGTAGTTTGTTCTGCTGCATCTTTTTCTAGGTGACATATGCCTCTAACGTTCACATACGTGTATATATTTTTTATTCTTTTAGGAAGGTTTGGCCGAATTTTTAAGTTTACCCTGCTGCTTTAGCCTCTGTCTCATGCACAGCCAGCCCTATTTGATGAATTCTTCCTGTTCTTATATTTTTTTTATTTGCCTTTGCATTTGTTTTTCTCTAACTTCTTCCTCTGATACTGTCTTGATAGGTTCCTCATAATGAGTGATTAACTAATGAGAATTGTCCATTCTGGTTCCTCTCTAGTGTAGCTCATGTCCCTTGTATCTTTCCTTAGAGTTCTAATACCAGAAATTCATTTTGCGTGTTTCCTCAGAATGTGAACAATACCTGTATCCTCATCTGTGATAACAGAGTCTCTGAGGTTCTTTAAGTAATTCTTTGAATCTTTTACCCTGAAATCCCTAGTTCCTCCTTCTCAAATCTCTCCAGATTTTCTATAAGCACTTCATTTAGTTTATCTTGTCTTCAATACATGACCTTCCCATTGCTTTTTATCTGTAGCCTCAGAAGTGTGCCTAAATGTGTGTTCTTTCTGAGGGGGTCATTTTATTCTGATTTTGGAAATATTGTTTGTTATTTATTTACTTGTTAATGTTTTTGGATTATAGTCACCTCTTCTGATCTAGTACCTAACCAGTTATCTCCCTTTTTCTGAAACAGTTTTTAAAAAAAGCTAGAACTTTTCCATTTCAGTTCATTCGAAATCTTGTTTTGTTTCATTTTTGTTTTTGTTTTTTAAGATTTTATTTATTTATTCATGAGAGATGCAGAGACATAGGCAGAGGGAGAAGCAGGCTCCATGCAGGACGCCTGACATGGGACTCGATCCCGGGACCTTGGGATCACGCCCTGAGCTAAAGGTAGATGCTCAACCACCAAGCCACCTAGGCGTCCCTAAAATCTTAAGTTTTATTTGAAGTATGTTCTCTTTGTTCATTTCCCCATATTTTTTATCTGTTTTTTGCTGTTTTTGGTGCTAAAACTAGTTTTGAATCTTTATGCTCCCCCTATTTAGAACAGAGCTTTCCAGTTGGTGTGCCATGACTAGCCAGATTATGGGTATGTGGGAGATATTGATCCTGTTTCTGTGATCATGAGAAAATATGTCTTTTAACCTTAAAATTCCCTGTGTATGTTAATATGTGTACTAATTGTATTAAAAAGGTTGGGAAGCTCTGACCCGAAGCATTCTAGTTTGCTTTGTCAGCTATCCAGACCTTTGAACTCCTTCTGTGCTAACCTAATCCCCAAGGGTAAGATGTCCCAGATGCAAGTTTTCTATAGTGATTTCTTTGGCCTTTGATATTTGTGTCATTCTTTCTTTACTACTGCTTTCATGCAAGTGATGGGTCTCTCATTTCTTTTTTCTCTCTCTCTCTCTTTTTTTTTTTAATATTTATAGAGGGAGAGAGCATTTGTGTGTGTGTGTGCATGCTTTCCACACACAGGTGGAGGGGTAGAGGGAGAGACTCTCAAGCACACTCCCTGCTGAGCACAGAGCCTGGGCAGACCCTGAAATCATGACCTGGGCAGACCCTGAAATCATGACCTGAGCCAAAATCAAGAGTTGGACGTTCAACTGACTGAGGCTCCATGGTCTCTCACTTCTATTATAGGAGTCTCGTGTCTTTTTAATTGCTCTTTACTTGTATTCCTTTTATTTCTGTTGGCATAACCAATCTGGGCCCCTGAGTTTCACAGTTTAAATGCAAGGCAAAGAACAGGATGTCTAAGAGGTTGGAAAGACGGACAAGGTAAATAATTTCTAGAGATTCCTACCCAACTCTTTAGTGATCTGTGTTTATCACAGATTAGTGGAGAGCAGGCTAAAATTCAGGTAGGAAGATTTGAAAAGAAATTTGGAAAGAAAGTTCAGAATTCCTGGAGCCAGCCAACATCCAGTTCCTTCAGACAAAGTCAGCAACCTGTTAAGTCATTGCTCTTTCCATGGGGTATGTGTATGACAATAAGGAGAAAAACCAGGAGTATTGATTTCCTACATAAAAATAAGAGGACATGGAAAGGAGATTCCCACTAATATTTACATCTAAAGATTCATAGATATTTACATCAAGCAAGATAATCTTTGGATTGTTCCTCTCCCCCATGTCAGTCTCAAGTCCTTTTTATTCTCATATTATAAAATATGTAAGGTGTGAAGTAAATTTTTCCCATAGAGTTAAAATGCCCAAAGACGAAATATATATAATGGGAGGGGATACATTGATTTTGGAGTCAAATTTGAGTTCACTTTGCAGCTTGAGCACTAACCAATTTTGCGAATTTAGGCAAGTGAATTAACCTGCTCTACAGCTTCATTATCAGTAAAATAGAAGTAATTGTACTGTTATCAGTCATAGTGGGCTAGATAGTCCAGTGGCAACAGCTCCAAAACTTTGTAGCTTATATCATATTATTATATGTGTCCAGTGGGTGTGAGTAAGGGGCTCTGATCATTCTTTAACTCAGAGCCCCAGGCTGACAGATGCTTCTCATCATCATCCCTTCTGGGATTACAATGGCAATGAAAGTACACTGGCTTTCAGGGTTTCCATCACACATCACTTCTGCTTACATTTTTTTGGGAAAAACAGGTTATGTGGTCTGCCTAACTTCAAGTGAGGGGGAACACCTTAAACCCATTAGGATGGCTACTATTAAAAAAAACAAACAGAAAATTACAGGCATTGGTAAGGATGTGAAGAAATTGGAACCCTCGTACACTGTTGATGGGAATGTGAAATGATACAGCTGATATGGGAAACATCATGGTGACTCCTCAAAAGATTAAAAATAGAATTACTATTCCATGGAGGAAATCCTTTCGCAATGTATACATATATCAGATCATTACATTGTATACTTTAAACTTTAAAGGTTGTTAACTGTATGATCCAACAGTTCCACTGCTAGGTATATATTAAGAATTGATAGCAGGGTCTTGAAGAGATATTTGTACATCAATGTTCATAGCATCTCATTATTCACAATAGCCAAAAGGTGGAAAACAACTCAGATGAATGGATCGACGAATGGATAAACAAAATGTGGCATACATAAAGTGGAATATCTTTTAAAAAGAAGGAAATTCTGACACATGCTGCAACACAGACGCTAAGTGAAATAAGCCAGTCACAAAAAGACAAACACTGTATGCCACTTACATGATGTGTCAAGACTTGTAAAACTCAAACAGAGAGTAAGAATGGTGTATGCCAGGGCCTGTGGGGAGGGAGAAATGTGGAGTTGTTCAGTGAGTGTAGAGTTTCAGTTTTGTAAGATGAGAAGACTTCTGGAGATCGGTTGCACAACAATATGAATATACTTAACACTATCTACCAAACACTTGAGAATGGTTAGATGGTAAATTTTGTGTTATGTATCTTACCACAAATAAAATTTTTAAAATTTGAATAAAACGTGAGTGGGAAAGTATGTCTTAACCACATACCTGAGAGTAGAAACCAGAAATCTTTTTGAGTATCACTAATAACTACCATATGACCTCATAGCATTGTTGTAAGGATTAAGTGAAATACTTCCTACCAGTTTTTTTCCCCCTACCATTTGTTTTAAGGAGTAAATGAAAGTGCATATACTACATTTATAAAGAGACCATGTCCTTCCCTGCCTCTTTTTTTTTTTCTTAAGCAAATCAATTTTACTGGTTTAAACACAAAATTCATGAAGATAAATTATGTACACAGTTGTGGATACCACACACTTTTGTGTCGTAATGCAAAGATAAACTGTGTTTTCAGACCAGAGAGAACAAAACATAAAAATGAAAGTTTAAAAAAGTATTAACTTCTGTTTGCTTCAAGCGAAAAAGGAAAAAAAAATCCACAGTGTATATGTTAAAGAATTTGGAAAATTCACAAATGACTAATCATGCCTGCAGCATGAAGAGTAGAGTAGCTTCTGAGCTGCTTTGTGTCAAAGCTGGTGTTTTGCTCCTTCGTTGGTGACAGCTGCTATTTTTGAATGGTGTGCGCTCTTCTCTTTAAATACAGGAAATGATATTTAAGGTTTTATAGAAATTTACTCTAATAGTGGCTTTTTTTTTTCTTTTCAACAAGTCCAGGTACGCATGTATTGTACAGACTAAAAGTGTGAGGTCAAAATGAACTATGATAATAAAAGGATCAAACATTCCTTGAACACAGACTGTGTCAGGACCTCTTGTAATGTTGTCCCCTGCAGCAACTCATTTTAACCCTTCAGCAGGCCTTTGAGTTCAGTTACTGTTATCCTCAATTGTCAGGTGAAAAAATGGAAGAATACACTTAAGTGCCTTGTCCAAGGTAATGTCAATAGCAGCACTAAGTGAATGGACAGCCACATAAATGTTACCATCTTGGCATATACTATTGTTCTTTGGATGTTTTCTCTATTACTTACAGGTCCAAAAATCACAACCGCATTTATGTTTTTACCATGCTTTAGGGATGAAGAGAAGCCAAAGAACCCCATGGTAGAGTTGTTCTATGGGAGGTTCCTTGCTGTGGGAGTACTTGAAGGTATGGTTATAATACATGTTTACTCTTTATTACATTTGAAGAGATATTACCTATTAGCTCTTGTCTTGATAGTGACTCCTTACTTGTTGAATGGTTTTTAATTTTAATTTGATTTACTCTGTCTAGTAGTTCCTGTTGCATTGCTACTACTTATTTGCAAGAAAACAGTGAATAATGGAGTGAATGAAAAGGAAGGTTTAAGCGTGCATTATCACATGCTAATATATAGTGTCATCCTGATGTTTTTTTCCCTGAGAAAGCTGTGATTCTGTGAATTGTTGGGGTACAGGGATTAAGGGGGCAATGGTTTTGAAAATAATATTGGAGTTGAATACTGGTTTGGGGATGATGGTTATTGTTTCTGAGGGTTTCAACTCTTTGTTGAAATCTGCATTTAATAATTTAGCAATTTAGTATAGTCAAGGTATTACCTTTTTCAGGTGATTATAGAATTATTTAGGCTCTGGTTTTCAAGAAAGAATCGTACTTTTATCTTTTGAAAAATCATTTAAGAGTGATACTACTTACTCCATCTATCCTAAATTCCTGTTACTTAAAATCTGGGTCTGACCGACAGTCTTTTCGTTTTCCTAATAAGGAAAGGGCACTGACTCATTAAATACACTTCAGATAATAGTAATTACTAATGCCAAAGCATCAAGTTTTGAAAAAATTTGAAACATTTGAAAAACTTTTCAAATTTTCCAAATGGCCCAATGTATCAACTTTTGGAAAATTGGTTTTCCTTCAGGATCTTAACTAATGGATTCCTATGAAGCGTTGTTTGAATATAATTTTATAGTGTAGGATTCAGAAAAAGTTAATGACTCAGGATTTAGTTGGGCATATAAAATGTTACACTGAAGTGTTTGTGTGTGTGTGTGTGTATATATATATATATATATAGTATATATATATGTATATATGTATTTTTTGCCTCAAATGGTAACTGTTCATTATATAAATAGTGGAATATTTTACATAGTACGTTACTTTCCAATTTGGGATATGCATAGTGTCATACTGTATTTGAAGTAGTAGAATAGCTCTAATCAGGTGGTGACTGTACTATTTATACCCTTCCTACTTGTGTTACCTTGAATCTTAAAAGTGATTTATTGAAACAATTTGTTAGTGTTGAAATTCTTGTACTAGATATTAGTTGTTTCAAACCATTGTGCCACGTAAATGTGGTTTAGTACATTTCCACGTGAGCTATGTATTTGCTTCAGTAAAAATAATTTGCTCTCAAGCTCTATCTCTAATCATTTTTATGTGTATCTTCCTTATGCTTTCTTTTAGACCAGCGACTCTCAATTGGAGGTGATTTTCATATGTTTACTAAAGTGTTCTCTTTGCAGAAGTTCCTCAACTTTTCCAGAACGTCTAGTTCATTGACCCCTTCATTTTGTTCCTTTTGGCATTTTTCTTTACTTGTGCATTATGATCATTTTTATAAACATCTAATTCCCCCATTCCCTCTCTGCTACCCTCTGTGGCTGTTCTCTGACCATCACTTAGCTGCTCATCCTCTCTCTTATGTGCACTGAGTACCTGAGTATTACCGGGGAAAAGTTACTCAAATGGGCTAACTATAAATGGATCATGAATTGGTAGTAGATAACTAAGCTTCACTGTCCCAATCCTGTAACACTACTGTGCTTAATTGTTCTGTTAAATGACTTGTTGTACTTGTTGTACTTGTTCTGTTAAATCACTGTCTTCTATCCCATTTTCTGTAATAATGATTTTTACCTTTTTTACTTCTAACTTCTCTGGCTCTTCATTCTCTGAAAAAGATCTTCCCTTAGGTTTTATGGATTTACCGTGAAGCTAATGAAATCTAGCCGTAGGTCCTGAATCTAATTTTGTGTTTGTAATTTTGTATCATAGTACTTAAACACAACTTTCCCAAATATGTGAGCTTTACGCTTCACAACCTCCATCTATTCCTACCTCTACCACATTCTTTTTATTTGTCCCTCCAGATTATAAGGAATTATTCAGTCTTCTATGAAAAGGCTGTCGTTTATATGTGCTCAGAAGCTCATCTCTGCATGCTTTCACTCACCCCTGACTCTCCATCATCCTGCCTTCTCTTGTATTTTCAGCGTTCCCCTCTGCTGTCTTTCTCATAAGTATTTAGGTGTGGTCTGGTAAGTCACATCTTTAACAAAAAAGAGCTCCCTTCACCGTCTTTTTCAGTTAATCCTATTACGTTAAGTCCTCCTTAAGAGAGGAGTTTGTTTTTACCTGCTAGATGCCCATATATTCAACCCATCCCACTTTTGCTTCTGGCCCCTTCTAAGATCAATTTCCAATATGTGTTTAAGACTGCAGGATCCCACTCAGTTCTCATATTGAACTCTATGCTATTTAGTCTCTCTTTTTCCTCTTTCCTATATTCTGTCTTTAAAATCATTTCTCCAGCTTCTGTGGCACCATATTCTCTTTTTTTTTTCCTGCTACTGTGGGTACTTTTATTTTATTTTATTTTTAAAGATTTATTTATTTATTTATGATAGACCTAGAGAGAGAGAGGCAGAGGCACAGGCAGAGGGAGAAGCAGGCTCCATGCTGGGAGCCCGACGCAGGACTCGATCCCGGGACCCCAGGATCGCGCTCTGGGCCAAAGGCAGGCACTAAACTGCTGAGCCACCCAGGGATCCCCCTTGGGTACTTTTAGAAGTTATAGTTAGCCTCTTTTAGCTAAGGTAGGAGATCCTTGGGGCTCAGCTGACGCCCCCTGCCTTTTCCATCTTCTAGTTCCCTTGGCAATTTCATTCTCTCCCTTGATTAACTGCCATCAGTAGCCAGCAATTCTCTCATTGTAGCTTCAGACCTGAAGATTAATTTTAGTTACAGATTCATATTCAACTCTCTTCTCAACTTAAAATCCAATGGTCCATTCTAAAACAATGGTTGCCACTACTACCTTAAAACTAAAAGAAAAAAAAATTCTATGCTTTTTCTTTAGTGGAGCCCCTTTCAGTACATAAACAGTCAATTCAGTTGTTTATGATAGAAACTGAGTATCATTCTTGATACCTTCCTTACAATTCTGCCCCCCCATCCTGCCAGTGAGCCAGCCACCAGTCAATTGTATTTACTCCTTCCCGAATATGTGTATAAATGTCTGTGTAATTTCATCTGCTTTTGTACACTTTTACTTTTTTTCTCACTTTTTTTTTCTTTTTTTTCACTTTTACTCTTAACGCTGTATTCCATGTTTGCCTTTATTTCTACATGGAGTCTTCAATAGTCACCTACTACCCACTTAACAGAGAAGCCATGTGGATGTTTGAGAGACATAAATGTGACCTGTTATTCCTAGGTTTAACTATACAGTGACTTTTTGTTTTATTCAGAAGAAAAAATTCTTAACAAGGGCTTATAAAACTTTGTAGATTTTAAGACCTTACCTAACTCTTCTCTTCATTGTTATCTTCCCATTTGCTCCCCTAAGTTATAATGTCCTTTCCTTAATTCTTCAGACAGGCCAAGTTCTTTGCATCCTTGAAGTCTTTGTGTATATTATTCCTTGGCTAAGAATTCTGCACAGCACTCTGACACTCTGGCCTGGCTAATTGCTACTCACTGTTTAAATCTCTGTAAATGTCATTTTGCTATGGAAGTCTTCCTGTTCCACCCTCTAGCCCTTAAACACTAGGTTAGCTCTCCTTCTTATTTCCTTTCACAGCACTATCTCACCACACATTTTATAACACTTATAATGATAAGTAATATATTATTAATAATTACATGTATAATTAATGTACATAGAATGTAATGTCTTTCTTCCAAAAGAGGTTGAGAGTTTTCCTCAGTTCAGAGACCTATAGAACTTTTTTGTTCACTGCTTTATATATTTGCAGTGTTTAGTGTAGTATCTCGTCCTTACAAAGTGTTTTTTGGAAGAATATATATACACACACACATGTGATTACCTACATACGTACAGGTGTGTAATTAATATCTATGGCTGGATATGAATCTGCATATGTGCATGTACAAACCAACAAGAAAATGATAATGACTACCCTATGGAACAGAGAGTGATTGTTTTCAGGTTCAGGAGGTAATTCATATATACATTTACTTATTGAGTAATGATTAGCTTTCCCTTCTCCTATAGGTAAAAAATTTGAAAATACTGAAATGTTTGGTCAGTACCCACTTCAGGTCAATGGATTCAAAGATCTACATGAGTGCCTAGAAGCTGCTATGATTGAAGGAGAAATTGAGTCTTTACATTCAGAGAATTCAGGAAAGTCAGGCCAAGAGGTGAGTTTAGCATCTTCTTTGTTTCTCTTTCCCCAGTCTTTCTTATAGTGTGGTAAAGCACATTTTAGGTCTCTAATTATAAAACTGCCTCATATCTGAGAGAATACTCAGATTATGTGTTTGGATTTAATTATGGTAGCTTAGGCATTTGGGAAACCAGTACAAACAAGTCTATAATCTATGTTAAATTCTCCCTTGACAATTTAGCTTAAAATTTTCTGTTAAAATCCTCTTTTAGGAAAAAAAAAAATCCTCTTTTAGGGCATTACTGAGTCTATGTAGACTTTTTAGGGAAGGTACCAGTCATGGTAGCATGCTAGTCCTGGAGGTAAACAGGGAAAGTGCTGATATTAGGATGGAATTTTATATAGACATCTGTTACTTATATCCAGTAGTGTTGGAATTTATCTAGATTCCCTTTTTTTTTTTTTTTTTTTTTTTGTAAAAATTATTGTGTAATGGCAGAAGGGCAGATGGAAGAACTTGCTCTCTCAGGAAAGATATAACTTAACAAATATAAACCTGCTTATTTGTTTCAATTGGTCTCTGTCTGGCCTCCCACTCTCTCTTTATTCACGTCTCTAGCTCCATCTGTACATCCATCCATTCAGCCATGTATTCATCCTTATGTGTTACTATCATGGAAGGCAAAGGACAGATCATTGCTCCAAATTCAGTTATGAAGCAGTCGCTAATAGTTGTCTGCTCTAAACTCCATGCACAGAGGGCCAGCATCTTCATCTGTGTCATTCTTTATTATATCCCTGGTGGATAGTACAATGACTGCAAAAATAATTACGTAATACATATTTATTGACTGAATGAATGAAATGTCTCTGTGTTATCAAAAAAGTTTCTGAGGACTTTATCCCTGAATAAGGTGCTTAATAGATGTTAAGTGATGATATCTCTGTGTTTTTCTAAACAGGGACTGAGTTCTTGTGTCTTTAAGAGTAAATTGCTTTTATCTGAATATGTGCTTTTTTAAAAAGATGGAATTCTCTCTGTCCTGTTTTATCTTCATCCTCATTTCCTTCTCTTCCCTTATACACCCAAATAAACAAAATAAATTAACATTTACAGTTTTTTTTTTTTTTCGGGGAGAGAGAGAGGGAGAGAAAATATTTGAATTAGTTTTTCTCTCTGTATCATAAATCATCTACTTCAGTGATTCTCAGCAGATGCCGAGGCCCTACTTCTAAGCTGTCAAATCAGAATGCAGGGTAGAAATGTAATGCAGTACATGGGCCCAAGAGCTCCACCAGTGATTTCCATAGAGACCTCCAAATAAGAATATTTAAATTAAACTTACTTATTTTTATTGATCTCTAAAGATTGAGACTCTCAGGATCCCATAATGGAATAGGAAAGCAGACCCCCTGCCTAAAGTGTGACTTGTGTTATATTAAATAAAAGGAAAATGAGTTTAAGCAGAAAAAGGAGGGATTGCATTTTCCTTACCCTATCAGAGGAGCTTATAAGTGAAATATGCATTAGTTTATTGATAAATAATTTAGTAATTAATTGGTAAATAATCTTTCTCACATATTCCACTTTTAAAAATGTTTTTCTTACATTGAATCTGAATTTCATTATTTATTTTAAATTTAATCTGAATCTCATTATTTATTTAAAAAGATTTAGTTTGTCCTCCATCTTTGGCTTCATACTCTGAACTGCGTATATATTTTCTGCCTTGGTTTTTATATCCAACCTATCAAATACAGTGATATGTTTCCTCTGAATTCAGCAGTTTGTAAGGAGTCTTAGTAAGAACAAATTCAATTACCTGTATTCCTATTACCAATTGCCTAGATTTGTAGAACACAATAGTTTCAATGAGGCTTTTAATAATGTACTTAGATTATAGTCTTATTTCATTATGTCCTTCAGAGTGACTCTTCTGTTTCTTCTTAACTTTGTATAAATACCAATGAGTAACATCTTAGGCTTGTTTATAAATTGACATAGTCCCTGATAACACCTTTTATCTCTTAGACTATTATTTATTTAACAGATATTGATTTTACTTTGATACAGAAAACCTCTCTTTTGCTAAAGTAGCTGTGATCAAGTAATACTTAGGAAGACCTTTAGTGTCCTGAATACTCATGTTAAAATATCCAGTGGTCTATAAGAGTTTAAATTTCTGGAATGCCATACCAAGAGACAACTGAATGAATTAAAAATTATATATCTATGATAACTACTTATAAAATATTTTTCAAATCCTAAGTTTTAAAGTTTAATTACGTTTATAGATGAATCAAACTTTCTAGGAAACCTGGAGATTTGTTTTGATTGCCTATTGAAGCAAAAACCTTTCGAGCAGTGAATACCTCATTTCTTGCGTGGGTATTCACTTCTTACACATTTTCTTTTAGATTGTCACTATACACATGTAAGTATTTGTATTTGTTCATACTGTCCTGTGACTTGCATTTTTCCCTCACCAGTACATCACGAGCATCCTTCCAACATCAAAATATATGGCTCAACACCATTCTTTTTAAAACCTGCAAAGTATCACATAACCTGTATTTCTAAAATTAATTTAATTCTTCTGTGAGACATTAGTTGGACAAAGAATCATTTCAAGGAATATCTTTTTAAAGATTTATTTATTTATTTATTCATGATAGAGAGAGAGAGAGGCAGAGACACAGGCAGAGGGAGAAGCAGGCTCCATGCCAGGAGCCCAACGCAGGACTCGATCCTGGGACTCCAGGATTCCTCCCTGGGCCAAAGGCAGGCGCCAAACTGCTGAGCCACCCAGGGATCCCCAAGGAATATCTTTCTATAAATATAAATACCTTGAGAACTTAGCAATGAAGAATAGTCAGAAGTAGAATCTTTGGGTCACCAGGCATACTCATTTAAAAATATAAGTACTATCAAATTTCCCAAAATTCTACTAAGTTGTACTAAGTTATAGTCACAAAGTTGTACTAGGTTATAGTGAAAGTTCTACAACAAATTTTATGGAACTTTAAAAACTAAATTAGATAAACAATACCTACATGTACAATATTAGATATCTGTAGATGTTATATGGGAAATTTATCTTTTAGAGTGAAAGGGAAAATGTGTGAAGCCAGTTAAATGACTAAAACTAATTTTCAAGTTGGAATAGAGCTGTTTGCTTCTCATGCTTGATTTTTATCCTGGTTTTGTTTGGTGTTCTGTGGGAATTTGAAATGGTAGGTCTTATTTTTCTGTCCCCTGCTTCCCACATTCGTGTAATCTCACAAAAGCAAGGTATTTAAAACATATTAAAAATCAGCTATTATAACTCAAAAAGATGACTACATTCTCTCTAGAAAATACTTTTATTAAGTTAGATTTATAGACATAAAGTTCAGGAGCCCTTTTGTTGCCAACGTTTTTATTCATTAGCTGCCCCAATCTATTACTTCCTTAGGCTTATTATATAATATGATAATAAATAATAATAAAATGTGTTTAGAGATCTGGAAACTATAAGCATTATTTTTTACCTTTAATGATCTGTGTCTCACAAGCATGGCATACCAGTTAGAGAAGTAAATACAGTTTTTTATTGAATGAAAAGAATAACTTTTTTTTTTAAGATTTTATTTATTCATGGGAGAACACACAGAGAGAGAGGCAGAGACACAGAGGGAGAAGCAGGCTCCATGCAGGGAGCCTGACGTGGGACTTGATCCTGGGTCTCCAGGATCAGGCCCTGGGCTGAAGGCGGCGCTAAACTGCTGAGCCACCGGGCTGCCATAGAATAACATTTCGAAAGAAAAATACTTCGTATATTTAAAATTCTAGGTATATACTGCTATACTTAAAATCCTAAAATCACAGAGCTAGACAAATCCTTAATATTTTCTAAGATGAAGAATAAAGTGAAATCCTTCCAGTCTTGTAGAAAAAAACTGTTACTGCTGTTATAGGAAATACATTCACAACAGAGACATATTACATAATTATTATGAACATTCTTTCTTAAGTTATAGAAGTTATTTCCTGGACTTTTCATGGTTTGCCGAGAAGCATACCCCCAATTTGGGTGATTTTATTTCTATTGGCCATGGTAGGTTTCCATGAATTAAAGTATGTAACTATTTAATTTTCATGGTGACATTTAAAATACTGCAATAAAATATGAAAGCAATAGTTCTTGAAACCTACGTATTTATTTTAGTATCACAAAATGGAGTAGAGAGTAGTTATCCGAAGGCATCAAAAGTTTTCTTTGTGATATGTATGGAGTATGTTTTAATTCTTAACAGTAATTTAAGGTGTGTATTAGAATTCACTAAAATTCTTGCCAGTGTCATGTGAGAACAAAGTAAATAAGCAGTCTTTGCTCAAGAAATCTTCAAACTTAAGAGATGCTTCTGATACTAGATCTTTTGTAACTTTCTCTAGTCTACTTCAGTTTTAATAGCCATATAAAAATACATTTCTTAAACTTCAACTTTTGGTAAAAGATAAGCCACATCTAACTCAGGAAATTTCAATTCATGTAAGCTGTAGCATTTTGGGACAGAAAAAATAGTTTTAAATAATTATTTTTATTAGCTTTACTTAGAGAAAAGTAGTAGCTTACAAGATCTTAGTCAAATCCAGTTTGCCAAATGTTCACCGTTACTACTTTTTTTGGATGTCTGAATTTAAATTAGTGTACTCTTAGCTAATTGATATTTGTGTGGTTGCATTTTGTGGCACTTGAAAATAACACACGTGTAATGTGTGGCAATTACTTTTTAGAGTAGTACATGATGTGATTTACAGTAAGCATTAAAAATATTTGTTGCATTATTTTATACTTCCATATTTGTTGACTCAGGAGTTTTTGTTCATTTCTTTTTAAAAATGTGTTTATGTAAAACTTGAATATTTTTTTTGAAAGTAATTTTCTTTGAAATTTTGTTACATTTATTGCTTAAGTAAACAATTGCCAAATTTTGTGGAGCAATTGGCTCATAGCAATGAGGTATTTAATTCTTCAAACAGTAGTCATTTAAAGATTTTAAATATAGTTATCATTAGTTTAAACTCCGTTTTAGTAATAGGTTTTTTTTTTCTTAAATTAGTCAGTATTCCATTAGGAAAATTAAAAATAAAACAAGGGAATATCAGTTTCTAGTTTTTAGTAAGAATTGTGACCATTTATGCTATAAAAATTGTGTGTGTGTGTACAAGTTTCTTTTTCAAGATTTTTGAAGTGTGGTTGACTAATAAGTATATGTACCATTCCTGGTAGTCAGGTAGTCATAGTGACATAATATTGAAGAAGCCAGAGGATTTGTTAAAATTTGTTAAAAGCCATGCTTTTAAATAATGTCTGTAGCTTTAGGTTAAAAAACCTAATGTAAAAAATTATTATGGAAGAAGGAGAGTTGTTAGAAGATCTTTTTTCTTTGCTGGTTGAGTATTATTCCCATCCTTGAAATTTTTAAGTGGTGTGGAACACTTTTGGGAAGAAGTTGGATTTTAATTAAATTGCCTAGCTAGTCATATATTTGTAGTGCGAGCATTGTAGATGATACATCTAAAAATGCCATGCTGACACTCTGTGCCTCACACTGCAGTAGAGAAAACAAAAGGTAATAATAAGGTTTTTGTTGTTGTTTTCTTTCAGCATTGGTTCACCAAACTGCCACCTGTGTTAACATTTGAATTGTCAAGATTTGAATTCAATCAGGCATTGGGAAGACCAGAAAAAATTCACAACAAATTAGAATTTCCTCAAGTGTTATATCTGGACAGGTATGGTTTGGTATACAGCATGACTTGGTTTTGAAACTGTTCAGTAACCAAGTAAAGAATTATTGTTTAGAGAAGAAATTTGCTTAATTTCTTTAGAATTAGTCTTTTTTTTTTTTTTTTTGCATAATATGTCCAGTACTACTTGTCAAGGAAAATTGAGTTCTCTTTCTATTTAGAAAAGTATAGTTACTGGGAATTATAAGGAAGCTAAAACATTTATTTTTGTGTTTGTTACAATTTTATGAAATATTCTTTTGTCTGATATTTCATTGTAAAATTTTAAATTTTACCTTTTGACCTTTTGTGGTATTGGCTAGACTTAGTATTGTATCTATTTCCATGATTTTTTAGAAATGGTAATATTTTTTTTTTGTTTTTTTCCTGATAGATACATGCACAGAAACAGAGAAATAACAAGAATTAAGAGGGAAGAAATCAAGAGACTAAAAGATTACCTCACAGTATTACAACAAAGACTAGAGAGGTATTGTAACTTTTATGAAACATATGGGAAGTCATATTTTTAGTGATTATCTGGAATCTTTCATTTTAAATTTGCTTTGGGTGACTTTTAATTCTAGTAATAATCACTCTGAATTCATATTTTGCTTGAATAGTTTTGAGTTTTGTTAGAAACTAAAATAATTCTTAGTTGGCATTCATGATTATTTTAGTGTTTTAAATTAAATATTTTCATTGTTGACTAGTAATAATGCTCTTGGTGTTGAAAACAGTTACAAAATTAAATTAATGTTAAAAAAAATATCCAGAAAAGGGACACTTGGCAGGCTCAGTCAGTAGACCATGCAACTCTTGATACTTGGGCTGTGAGTTTGAGCCCTACATTGGGTGAAAAATTACTTAAAATAAAAAACAAAAAACCAAAGTTGAACTAATTTAAATTTTAATGTTTCTTTTTGTATGAGACTACATATCATTCTTGAGATTTCCATTAAAATGAATGGTGATTGAGTTTTTTCTGCTTAATACAGAAGATACAAACTCTCAGGCCTCTCATTGAGACTTTTTAAAGAAGGGAAGCAAGTCAGGTGTAAGCTGATAGGCAAAGGGAGCTTAGAGAGCATATCCCTGAGAGAGGAAGTGCCCATCATCTGTACTACCGGGTGGGACCATGTGTGACACCACATGTGAGTATGTCCTACTATTTTTGATAACTTCCCCAAAGTGCTGGAATCTAGACAGTCAGATGCTCTGTAGTTCAGACAAAAGTCTATAGGCTAAAATGTGGCCTGAGAGATCTCAGTTTGCAACCTCTGATTAATCTGTATCCCTTATTTTAGTATTAATTTGAAAATTAGCCCCAAATTTGTTAAACAAAAATAATGTATTATTATTTCAATAATTTTTATTTTTAAAAGGTGTCTGTGATCATATTAAAAACTAATCAGAGGTTAAAAAAACTAATCAGAGGTAAAAGGTAGAAGGATAATATTAGTCATCATCCTAATCATGAGACCAGATGACAGATCTAAAAATAAAAACAGTGTCAGGAAATGGAAATGTCAGTATTCATTTTCCTATTGGGTTACGACTTAGAGCAGCATTTAAAATATACAACAGTGTACAGACACATTCAGTTGTAATCAACTTTGTTTCCCTTAATTCGGAGGACATTTAAGTTCTTTCTTGAATGTGTCTTTAGTTTTAACATCCTCATTTGAAAAAGAAAATTAATTGCATTGTTGAGGAAGATTTATTAAAGTGTTTTTATCATGTTTTATAACAATTACTAAAAACAACCAAATGTGTTTTATATACAGCTAAAAGCATTTATACATCTTATGGTTAACAGATATTTAAGCTACGGTTCCGGTCCCAAACGATTCCCCTTGGTAGATGTTCTACAGTACGCATTGGAATTTGCTTCAAGTAAACCTGTGTGTACATCTCCTGTTGAGGATATTGATGCTAGTTCCCCACCTAGTGGTTCCACACCACAGACATTACCAAGGTAAAATGTTTTCCTGATTCAGGAGCCAGCTGTTAACTATATTATATAGTGATATAATTGATGCTTTAAAGAGGGTTTTATAAAATGTCCATTGTGATTTATTTTAGTGGACTCTAAAAATACTAGATTCACTTAGAAGGTTGTGCATCTTCTGGATGCTTTCTTATTTCACTGTTTCAATAGATTTTATGGTAGTGGATTGGAATTTTCATCATATTTTTTTTTCTGTTCAGAATTATACTTTAGGTTGTTTTGGTATAGATGTCCATCTTTTATCCATGAAAATACTGTTAAGTTGGTTTTTCCTGTAATGTAAGCTGATATTATATAATTTTGGTATGCATAAGATTTATTGACATGATTAAGCCATTTCTTCTATAAAGGCACGATTTCATTCTGATAATAATATATTCCTCATATATTAAGTATATCATTGGATATTAAATTAATATACATATTTTTTTCTATACATATACATATTTATTTTTCTAATTAATATACATATTTAATTATAATTTCAAAAATTAATGCAGTGTGTTTGGCACAATTTTTGTCCAGAGCTTCAGCTTGGAAAATTTAATAATGAATATTTTATGATTTAAAAATATAGCACAACAGAACAACAGGGAGTCCCTTCTTCAGAACTGCCAAGCACATCACCTGCATCAATAGCTGCCATTTCATCAAGATCAGTAATACATAAACCATTCACTCAGTCTCGGATACCTCCAGATTTGCCCATGCATCCAGCACCAAGGCACATAACAGAAGAAGAACTTTCTGTGCTAGAAAGCTGTTTACATCGCTGGAGGACAGAAATAGAAAATGACACCAGAGGTAAGAAGCTTCTCATAGCATAGCTACTGTCGCCTCAGATGGATATGTATAATGTTAAAATTGAGAAGGGGAATCACCTCTGGATTTCATATATAAATATTATAAAGTATTTTTTTTTCCTAGAAAGTGTTTTCTATAAAAGAAACTAGTCTGGCCACCTGTTTTTATGATCTTAATATCAGACTCAGAGAGACCAACAGATTTTCCCTGGACTATTTAGTTGATTAATGACATAGCAGATGGTCTGATTTTCCTGTTTAGTGCTCTAAATTTATATCAAACTGGTATTCACAGCTACTTCATTGGTGAAACATCATACAAGATTAAATTATATATTTATCAATAACATCCTTCCCCTTATGTTTGTGGAATGAGTTAAAGTGTTAAAAAATTATTTTAAGTTTAAGAATTAGAAATGTGAATTTTATTTATTTTTTAAAAAAGATTTACTTTATTTGAGAGGAAAAAATCAAGGGGCAGTAAGAGAGGGAGAAGCAGACTTCCTCCTGAGCAGGGAACCCATGTGTGCCCTGTCCCAGAACCCTGGGATCATGACCTGAGCCAAAGGCAGACACTTTTTTGTTTGTTTTTTTCAAAGGCAGGTACTTAACCAGTTGAGCCACCCAGGTGCCCCAGAAATGTGAATTTTAATTTTCAGTCTGCTCTAACAGAGATTTCCAGATATGATCTAGGAGCTCAGTGCCAGTTTGTAAAGTGTTTTAACTGGCATGTAGCAAAATAAGAAAAATAAGAACAGTGCTCTGTTAGGAGTATGAGGGTGCATGTGTGCATGTGTATATATGTTGGTGTTAAGTTGCAATCTGGCCTTGGAAGGAACTCTCCTTTATTCCCCAATTATGTCTTTGCTACTTTAGTGTTCTTAAGGTAGCCTTTTTCTTTTTTTAAATGAAGTGATGTTAATATTTTATGGTAGATTTTATTATAATTTTTCCTTACATGGCAAAATATTATATCCTATTATCATCACCCAATTTTATCCTAATTTTATTCTATGTAAAAAGAAAAATCTAAGAGCTACTGTTTTATAACAAAAGATTGGAATTATTTTAAAGAGTATGGCTTATTGGAGCCCAACTTGACTATAGACGATATGTAAATAAAGAGCAGTCCTAATGTAATGTAATATAACATAAATAGGATATTATGGCAACCAACAATTAGCATTGGTAGCTATAAATATTTCCCTTAGTATTTTTCATCTATGAGGGAATTTTTTACATTTGAATTCATTAGCAAACATTTATTGAGCACACTGTGTTTCCTGAACACTGTAATAGATATTGGATAATTTTCTACGGGACTTGGTAGATTATATTTGTTTTTATATGACTACATTTGGAAGGGTGGAAGCTAGGAAGCTTTTGACATCAAGGTAGGGCATTGAGGGAGGAGAGAAATGAACAGATATGATCTATTCTTTGGAGAAAACTGACAGAGATAGATCACTGACAAGAGGTGAGAGAAAGGGAGGAATTAGGGATGATTTCCTTAGTTTTCCATGCTGGTATGAATAGATAGATGGAATATACTTTGGAAAAGGGAAAACTGGTGGATGAGCAGGTTCCGCACCTCACAGGAGGAAGTAGAGGAGTACGAGGAGTCCACTTTTGGCCATTTTAAGTTTGAGAAACTTGAGAGACATTCATCTGATAAGGCTTTGGACCTTAATACCTAATAGTTTGGATCATAATAATACTATGGATCAGGTGGGATTTTCCTTGGAATATTTGTTTCCTCTCTTTTATCCCTGTTATTAGCTGTTAGCATTATTTTTTAAACTATCGTATAATATTCCAGTATCTGAGTAGGATGTAATTTATTTAATTTCTACATTGATACTACAAATAGTGCTGGCCCTCCACATGCATACTGACACACTTTTGTGAGCAGGATATATTCTTAAAAGTGCCATTTCTGGTCCTATAGTGTATATATTTGAAATTTTAGCTGTTTTGGAATTTTACCTCCAAAACATTGAACCAGTTTTTACTCCCACTAACTGTGTGGGAGAGCCTGTCTCCCAAAATCCTCCTTAGTCCTGGGTACTTTTTAGATTGTGGTAGCCTGAATGTTGAAAAATGGTATGTTGGTGTCTTAATTTGCATTTCCTTAATTATGAGTGAAATTCTATTTTCCTATAAGTTTCTTGTTTATGACATTCACCCATTTTTTATATTGAACCATTTATTTTTCTCTTACTGCTCAGTAGAAACTTTGATGTTATGGGTATTAACCTGTTGCCTGTAGTGCTTGCTGTAGATACTGTTTTCTTAATTTGTTTTTGTCATTTGACTTTTTTTAGAGAGTCTTATCTTTTCCTTTATGGTTACTGAATTTTCTGTCAGGCTTACTAAAAGGTCTTTCCTCCACTCTGAAGTTACTAATATTTTTTGTAGTCTTTCATGATTTCTTCCTTATTCTTTTCAACAGCTTCATAGTATTGGTTATACTATAATTTAACCATTTCCACGTTAGTAGATATTTAGGTTGTCTCTAGTTCTTTAATTGTTAGGGCAATATAGCTGTGAATAATTTTGTAGAATGGATTTCTATTGGAAGTAGAAGTACTAAGTAATGGGAGTGTCAACATTATTTCCACTGGTGATTGTAGTGGAGTTTTATTCAATGACATATATGTATATAGACGATTTGTGGCAAAGTTATTTTATTTCATTCCACAATTTTCCTGTTTAAGTAAATGTATAAGGGGCTTTAGATTCAGCTTTTATTGAAACTTTCCTTTATAGATTTGAATAAAGTTCACTTTTATAGACTCAGCACATTTTCTAAGTGAACCATATTTGTTTGTTTTTAATTATGCACTTGTGCTATACCTTTTATTAAGGAAAACTTTTGTTTTATGTAGACTCCAAATGATAATGTTTTTAAGAGCGCTTTAGGAATTTTTCCTTATTGGTCTAACATATTGGTAGGAAAACCATTAGTTACTATCTTATATCTATGTAAAGACATATGTTAATCATTTTAAATGGCATCTTCTATCCTTAGATTTGCAGGAAAGCATATCCAGAATCCATCGAACAATTGAACTGATGTATTCTGACAAATCTATGATCCAAGTAAGTTAAATTTGAGGTTGGTAAGTGCTGTCAAAATTATTTACATATTTTTTATTTATATGATTAACCTAATTTTTAAGCTAATTCTGGTTCTTTTTATGTTATAAGATTGCTAAAATTAAAGATTCCATATTAATATTTCCCATACAATATTGTATGCTCATATTTATTGTTTACTTTTTAAAATTGTTTTACAGTAAACTTAGCAAAAATCTTTAGAAGGTCTTAGTTTTTACAAAAAGTCCTACAGAGGAAATTATATGGTTGTTTAGGGATATTAAGATTGAGGGGGAAGTATAGTGCTCAGTAACATTTTAACTTTTTGGCATACAGTATATAGGCCATATTGCTAATTCAGTCATCAATTTATAATTCTGAAGATTTAGATAAAATCATGTGCTTCATTTAAAATACTCATCATAAGTTCTTCGTTTAAAGGAAATACATTTTCAGAGTTTGAAAAAATATCCTATTTATACACCTGCTTTACATGTCATTAGATTATTTATCTCCCCCTTTTTTATTTCATACTGTAATTTTAAAAAAATTTTAATCACAGCCAGTTTTTGCTTGTTAAAAACATATTCTTTTATCGTATTCTCCAATCAGATAGTTTATGGGTTTCATGGAATATGGTATTAATAGACTAAATTGTGGCTTAACTATTTTGTTTTCATATTTAGGTTCCTTATCGCTTACATGCTGTTTTAGTTCATGAAGGTCAAGCTAATGCCGGGCACTACTGGGCATACATTTTTGATCATCGTGAAAACAGGTGGATGAAGTACAATGATATTGCTGTGACAAAATCATCATGGGAAGAGCTAGTGAGGGACTCTTTTGGTGGTTATAGAAATGCCAGTGCATACTGTTTAATGTACATTAATGATAAGGCACAATTCTTAATAAAAGGTAAGAACATGAAATATATAGGGTAGTATGTATTTTTAAGTATGTAGCTCTTTTATGTGACTCTGGTCTCTGGTGTGATTAGTTAAGTTTAATTGACTCAGGGTGATGGATGTGGTTAGGAAGTACAGTTGGCTTATTCTGAGTGAGAAACTGGAATTACAAGAGTAATCAGGACTGACAATTGGAATATATTTTGTATCCAAAGTTAACTACTTAGTAACCACTATAAAATGTAACTCTGACCTATTTCTCCTCGCTAAAATTCTTTTAAGGATCATATTACACATTGACTCATATTTAAGTTCCTTAATATACAAGGCCTCCATTTTCTGGCCTCTGATTGTCTCTCAAGCCTCATTTATTACCAGTGTCCATTTTAAACTGTGTATACTTTACTGATATCTGAACTGCTTGTTGTATTCTCTTCACACCAAATGATTTCACTCATTTATATCTATATGTTCTTATGTTTTTTTTTTTTTTATTTTTTGGAGGTAATGTTCTTATTTCTTCTTTTGTCTTAATTTCTGCTCATCTGCAATATTCAATTCAGGTGTCATCTGCTCTGCCAAGTTTTTTTTGACTTCTACCAGAATATATATCTCTCCTTGTGTTCTCATTGCATATGTCTATCGGGCACTTACGTGTGTTGGAATTGTATGTTGACTTATCTTTTTCACTTCACTCCGATCTGCTCCAAGACAGGGACAATGTCATACTATGTCTTATTGTTTTGTTTCTTAATATTCTCACATAGGTTTGCATATAGAAAATACTTAATAAAGGTTTGTTGAAACTGATAAAAATCAACCTTCTTTCTGTGTTTAACCATTCAGCAACAGTAGCTAGGTGGTTCAATTGTGGCTAAAGCTATAGTGTGCTTTGTATGTGTGCAGCAGAGGTTCAGTAACTCTCCTAAATACTACTTATGTAATGGTTTTAAAAATCTTGCTATATTGATTAGTTTTCAAATTGCATGTGGGCACATTGCTATGCTTAACTGTTTTAGACAAAAAAGAATTTTAGTTCTGTTTAGATTTTAATAAGGTTATGAATTATTCTCATTCTGTGATAATTTTTATTTCACAAATAATCAAACGTCTAGTGTTTTCTTAGAATATGTAGTACTGTGTCAATGTTTGAGTAGCAAATGATGTTGGCTTTATATCCCATTCCTTTTTTTTACTCCTTAGATTAAAAAAAAAAAAAAAAGCTGAGAACATTTCCTATAATGGATTATAAAATATTTGCATCATTGCTTGTCCAGTTTTAATTTTTAATATTGATTTGTTAAATTGTAATAATTCATACTTTAAATCCCATTGGAAATGCATCCTATTTTGAGCTTTGCATTTTTCCTTTAATTCTTAATTTTATATTAGTTTTTGAAATATGATTTGCAGAGGAGTTAAATAAAGAAACTGGGCAGGCTCTTGTTGGAATAGAAACGCTACCACCGGATTTAAGAGATTTTGTTGAGGAAGACAACCAGAGATTTGAAAAAGAACTAGAAGAATGGGATGCACAGCTTGCCCAGAAAGCTTTGCAAGAAAAACTTTTAGCATCTCAGAAATTGAGAGAGTCAGAGTCTTCTATAACAACAGGTTAGTACATTTTGATTAAATTGTATTTTATTATCTCTATTTATTATTGATATTTTATTTAAAAAATAGGATATGCTCATTTAACAATTTTTTTTTAAGATTTTATTTATTTATTCATGAGAGACAGAGAGAGAGAGAGAGGCCGAGACACAGGCAGAGGGAGAAGCAGGCTCCATGAAGGGAGCCTGACATGGGACTCGATCCTGGGTCTCCAGGATCACGCCCTGGGCTGAAGGCGGCGCTAAACTGCTGAGCCACCCGGGCTGCCCGATATGCTCATTTAAAAAAGAACCTTAATTATTTTAAAATGTGAAGAAGACAGTAAAAATCATCTGAAATTCCATCACTTCTCTGAGTGATGTTGCCTGTTAGCATAGGTAACAATTTAGTTTACCCTTTTGCCAGGTACTGTATACATATATCCCTTTTTCAAGTTAAATGAGATGATTTTGCTAATAACTCTTTCTGTTCTTACCCTGCCCACTTTGGTTGGGCCTAAAGAAGTTTAGAAAAGCCATGAAAACTAGCACGTAATCCAAACTTTTTCACTAAAGCTATCAAGAGAGTGAATACTAGTAATTTCCCATTTCAACAAAATAGCACTATTGGTATGTCCATACATATTTTGTATAATATTTTATGTAATATTTTGTGCATTTATGCTATTATTATAGAGCAGTTATTTGATTTTTTCAGAATTTTTAAAATTAAACAAGTGAGCTGAAACTATTTAATATATTTCAAGTTAAAATATGTATAGACTCATAAAACAGAGGTCAATGTACAAAAATAAAATATTTAAAAATATTCTTAAGTTCTTAGCTGATGAAATCAATAAAATGTTCAGAGTAAACGGTATAAAAATAAACATGTTCTAGCAAAATTGAAAATAAAGTATCTTCTGATTTTTTTTTAAGATTACTTTCATCAATCATCACAGAGTTGTTAATATATTTTAGGACAATATATTTTCTCCTGTGAAAATGTGTTATTTCTCTGTAGTAGTTGAAAAAATGAGAAGAGATAAATTGAACACAGATATTTTTGTCAAACTCATTTCTCTTTTTTTTTATAACAGTGAACTTTTTTGAATGGCCTTTTTATGCAATTCTGCCAATTTTGGTTTTATTTTTTAAGAAAGCATTTTATGTGTTTGTTTAATTTCATTTTTTATAGACTGATTCCCATACAGCATTACTTAGGTGAATTTTAGCCTTATCTCTTGAACTTTAGAAGTAATGATTCTCTCACTGGAAGATGTACAGTACCACAATATGGTATTGTGAATGAAGCAGGCACACAAAGATCTGTCCAGACTTGTTACCTTGTTTTCATGTAAATTGATTAGTTGAGTCCTTGATCTCGATGTTAATGGGCATTGATTCAGAATTTTTAAAAGACCATGATAATTGTATTATACCAAAAAATACCAATATTTTTCTACTTAAATGCAATATAGTATATTTGAATACCATCATTGTAGTGTGGTAAGTTCTACAATGATGCCCGACTGTATTTCTTTCCATACATTAAGAGCCACTGTGTAAACCACATGAAGGTCTGTGATTTCACAGGAATGCAGTTTCATTATAGTGACTTTGTCTACTTCCATAGGATTTGACTCAGTAGCTATCAAGAGATTTCTGTGCTCAAATAACAGTATATACATTATAGTTCTTTTCATTTTTGAACCAATTCCATCCCTGTGTGATTTCATCCCTTGTCTATGCCTTGTGCATATCCTTCATAAACTGATCCCTAGAACTTACCCCAAGGAGCAACTTTGTTATACTTCCACTAACTTTTGTGCACGCCATCTGCATGTAGCTATTATCTTATTAGTGGGAGGTTGTGGCTTCCTAATTGGTGTAAGTGATGGTGGTACCTAAGTACTCAAATGAAGGTGAATCCTACATTTATTGGTTAAGCTATAACTCTATTCTTGGCTCACATATTTTGTGGTACCAAAATATTAAGTACTAGATAGTCTTCTTTTCATCTTGTCTCTGACTAAATTTACCAACTTAACACATTTTATTTCGATTCAGACTAATACATATTCCCCATTAATATTCCTATCTGACAGGACTAGCTAACCTTGCCATACCATTTACATTTGTTATCTTATGTTCTCTCTGTATAAAAGGCCACATCTTTATGCCCCATACCCTTTATCCTGATTAATACTTACTACCATATACTTTAAATGCTGTTTTATAATTTAAAAACACAGGAATAGGTATTGGGCATATATTTTCATATCTCTTTTTAGTATTCAAAAGAAATACTTGAGAATGGAATATATTTCTGAGAGGAATCAGAATAACTAAAAAATAAAGAGACAGAAATGGTCAGTTTGCATATAACTATTATGATGATTATCTTCCAGACTGAAGTTTTTAGAAAGCATTGAATTTTCAGCATATTAAAGAGAATCTGTGTTTAAATCTTTCAGGTGTACACTAGAATTATACGTGACTAATGGAAGGTAATACAAGGAAGTCTTCATAGAATCCAGCAGAGTGATTTTTCTTTCCTTGCAAATCTTCTCAATAAAACTGTAATGTGACAGCTATTAAAATCAATTTCTTCTGAGTGATATTCCAAATATTAATTTACATAGTATTAATTAAATGAGTATTTGTTCCACTTCTGCTGACACGTGACCAAGAAATCTAAGACCTCATTTCTCTAGTACCATTCCTTGTCTTACTGAAACTAAGTAATAAGTGATGGAACCAAAAATTATTTGGTCCTTTTCATGCTGCCTCCTTAAACCTGCTTACTGCAAAGAAAAACTTACCTTAACACTTATGTTTAGAGATTTATTCAACATTCTTTACTACAGTGTACACCTAGGGAATTTTTTTGTGAGTATAAGCAGCACATGCCACCTGAGTAAGATCACCTAAGACTTAACTAGGATCAGAACCTCTGAAGGAAGGGTCCAGAATATATATATATATATATATATATATATATATATATATATTAAAATTTATTTATGATAGTCACACACAGAGAGAGAGAGAGAGAGGCAGAGACATAGGCAGAGGGAGAAGCAGGCTCCATGCACCGGGAGCCCGATGTGGGATTTGATCCCGGGTCTCCAAGATCACGCCCCGCTGCGCCACCCAGGGATCCCCAGAATATATATTTTTAAAGAGATCCTTAGATAAGTTTGAGGTATACTTCTAGTTAAACAGAATGGCTATGTTTATAAAACAGAGAAACAGAGAAGAGAAGAACTTTGCACTTTACTTGTGTTTCTCCTATCTTCTTCAAAAACTTTTTAAAAGGATTTATTTATTTTAGAGCATGAGTCAAGGGAAGAGGGTATGAGAGAGAGAATCTCAAGCCGACTTGTTTAACTGACTGCACCACCGAGGAACCCCTAAAAACTGTTTTTTTTTTTTTAATTTAAATTTTAGTTAACATACAGTGCAGTATTGGCTCTGGAAACACCATTACAGTCCTCATAACCTATATAGCATACCCAATTTAAAAAAAATTAAAAGGTAGAAAAAATAAGGTAAAAATGGTTAATATTGATATGAAATGCATTCCATAAGATTTCATAAATTTGCCTAGAAGGGGCTTACAGAATTAGCTCTGGGACTTTTCCACAGATACTGTCTACAAGTTAAAAACAAACTGATATTCCAGGAAATTTCAGCTGGTTCTTGAGAGTAAGATCTGGTAACATGAACAGTACCCTCAATATTCTCAAGTTCCTTTAAATCAGGGACTGTGTGATGTTCTTATGTATATTTCCAGAATCTAGCATAATAAATGACATATGGTAACTGACCCTTGAATGTTTTCTGAATTGAATTCATTTCCTATGGAGATTCCAATAATGAGTGTCCTGGAAGTGATCCACATTGTATGGGAATACTAACACTTGAAAAGTCTAGCCAAAATAATTATACATTAGATAGAAGGATAAAAATGTGTGGTACACATTTTATGTAGCTCTGTCCTAGGAAAATTCTAGGTTTAACTCTGGTTCCTAAGCCTCTACCCCTCAATTCCCATAATTCTGTTTGTAGTAGCACCCAGGAATTTGAAGTCTTAAAAATTTCTCTTGGGATTCTATGCAGCTAGCCTATCGTGGCTTTATAGGCTGCTTTTGGGGAATCATTAATTTTAAATACATTTCTAGAAATGAATGGTCTGCATATCTTTGATTTAATACTCTAAATATTCTCAGTGTGATTGTAATAAGTAAGACTCATCAGTAAGTCAAGGTATTAAGTACTTCTGAAAGATAGGAGGTGTTACTCTCCCCCCCCCTCTTTTTTTTTTTTTAAATAATTGATTTAAGAGCAGATCCTTGGGCAGCCCAGGTGGCTCAGTGGTTTAGCACCACCTTCTGCCCAGGGCACGATCCTGGAGACCCAGGATTGAGTCCCATGTCAGGCTCCTTGCATGGAGCCTGCTTCTCCCTCTGCCTGTGTCTCTGCCTCTCTCTCTGTCTCTGTGTCTCTCATGAATAAATAAATAAAATCTTAAAAAAAAAAAAAAGGGATCCCTGGGTGGCGCAGCGGTTTGGCGCCTGCCTTTGGCCCAGGGCGCGATCCTGGAGACCCGGGATCGAATCCCATGTCAGGCTCCTGGTGCATGGAGCCTGCTTCTCCCTCTGCCTGTGTCTCTGCCTCTCTCTCTCTCTCTCTGTGTGTGACTATCATAAATAAATAAAAAAAAAAAAAGAAAAAAGAAAAAGAACAGATCCCTATGCCATAACAGAAAGGCAGTTGGTTATTTAGTTAACTGTCTTAAAATGTTGAAGAGCAGAACCAGGAAATATACATAAGTGGAACACTCCCAAGGCATCCCAGTCTCTTACTCAATGTGAAGGTAGATCAAAGGAGCAGGCTCAGAGTACTCATAGAATGTTGGGTCTTCTTTAACAGCCAAGTAAGTAAATGAAACCCCTACATTTTGAACATAGAGCATAGCTGGGAAATCTCTTATGTGGAGGATAACCATTTACAAATCTCAGAGAAGTACCCATAGGACATATAAATGATGTAAGGGATATTTTAGATAGAGGGATATTATATACCTCCATAGAGACTTGGTAATCACCAGCTGTATTCCAAATTGAATTCATATATATCAGCTGAATAATATATATTAAGCTGAGGGATCAATTAGTATATAAAGTGTCAGAACACAGATAAAGAAAATATCATGGTCTCTATTAATTGCGTTCCTATTTATATAGGCCAGCAGTGATGAAGCTTCTATAGGGTTACTGGATGAACTAAAAGAATTGTATGTATTTACATACATACAAAGCCAACTTTTTGTGCTGTTGTTTTTAATAAAGAAATGGAAATTGCTTACGTGTGCAGTAGGTAGAGTGTGAGTTGTATGAGCCCTCCATCCAGAACACCATATAACTGGAAAAAATTATATCGACACGCAAAAAAAGTTTGTTATATTAAAAACAGTACATTCAGAATAATTCTTTTTGTTTACAAAATGTAGGTAAGTATAGTCTGGAAATATATAATACTAAAAATATTAGTAGTGCTTATTTCTGGGTAGTGAAAGAACTTCTTCTTTTCCTCAGTTATTTGTTCCAGTAAATAAATATGTTTTTTACCCTTCTAGTATGATAAAATGAAGCCAAAACCCTTTTGCATGAGGACCATGTATTATCATCTGACTGCCTTGTAATTCCTCCGAGAATACTTTGTTTCATATAAACCATATTATTCCCCATTACTCTTGCTTTTGGGGAACTTTTATATGATTATGGCATTTCTCATAAAGTTATGATTCATTTAAAAAATGTCCTTTGACAATCAGTATTCTTGAAATTTTGCCGATTCTTTAAGAACTTCCTAATATTCCAAATATCCCAAATATACGCTCCATTACGTATATATAAATCCTACAAGGATTTAACATTCAGGAGTTTGGAAACAAAAACCCAGACTTCATCCGGCACGTTTATTGAGCCTATGCCACTTACAGAATTGTGCTAGATATTAGCAGTGAGGAAAATTGACATAAAATTCACTCACTTAAGAACATCCTTGGGGATCCCTGGGTGGTGCAGCGGTTTAGCGCCTGCCTTTGGCCCAGGGCGCGATCCTGGGGACCTGGGATCGAATCCCACGTCGGGCTCCCGGTGCATGGAGCCTGCTTCTCCCTCTGCCTATGTCTCTGCCTCTCTCTCTCTCTCCTCTGTGTGACTATCATAAATAAAAAAAAAAAAAAAGAAAACCAAGAACATCCTTGTAGGGATGCCTGGGTAGCTCAGCAGTTGGGCATCTGCCTTTGGCTCAGGGTGTGATCCCAGGGTGTGGGATCTAGTCCCACATTGGGCTCCCCGCGGGGAGCCTACTTCTCCCTCTTCCTGTGTCTCTGTGTCTCTCATGAACAAATAAATCTTTTTTTTTTTCTTTTTAAAGAACATCCTTGTAGGTTCACTTGCTGTGACTACAGTACCACTCAAATAAGTTCCCTGGATCATTACATACACAAGAAACACTCTAGAGGAAATAGTTCTGTATGACACCTAGGCAGGATCATTCAGCATTACTAATAAGGTTTTTTGGACTCAAATCCCTGTGTGGAAAGGAACCTTGACCCTGGGGACCTAAGATATATTTGATTGTGTTGATCAGATAAATTTATTTTTGTTCCTAAGGACTTATTTTACATAGACTGTCCATGTTTCAGTTAGACCAGTGTCAGACTGGATGGATTTCTTGGCCCTCATTGTATTAACTTCATGTCCTAATACCAGCTAGAGGTGTAGTCTGAAATTTTCTATAACAATCCATCATGCAGGGCACTGAAAGAACATTGCAGTGCAAAGTCAAGAAATACAGAAATGAGAGCATTTGACTTCTTTAAACTTCCTTCCTGTCATACACATTTGTCAGTATCCTTCCTCTAGTCTTCCTTGTCTTAGTATATTTTACCTCCATCATCCTAGTTACTCGTGCCAAAAACTTAGAATCCTCTTCACATCAGCTCCAAACCTTTGTGTCCAAAATACATCTTCAGTTTTACCAATTCCCTTTACCTCAGTTGCTGCCTCTGTTGTCCAAAAGCACCACCACCTCTGCTCATATTGCTCTGGTACCTTCTAGTACTTTCACTGACTTCTAGTTATACTTTTCTCTAATCCATTCTTCACATTGTATGTAGTCAGAATAATTTTTTTTTAAACTTGCCACATTGCCATTGTATTTAAAACATTTATTCACTTCCTTTTATCCTCAAAACTTTTAATAGACTCAAAAGCCCTTATGACTTTGCCCCTGTCATCTCTTGCTCTATCTCTCTCCTTACACTGTAGTTCAGCCACACTGGCTTTCTTTCAGATCATCCTTCCATCAAGGAATGAAATAATCAACCCATCATCCTTCAGCTAAAAAATCATATTCCATAATCTAAGTTATCCCTCCCGTATTTCATTTCTAGCATGTATTATTAGAATGTTGTCATAACTCATGAATGTGATTCTTTGATTAATGACATTCTCCTAGTTGACTCTAAACTTACTGGGGCAAGGCTGCTTTGTTCACACTGAGAGTCCCAGTATCTAGCCTAGTGCCTGGCACATAGTTACTAAATACTTAATTAAAACTTATTGGATAGATGGATCACCATGCGTATATGTTGAAGTTAGAGCATTTCTTTTTGAATATTTCATTTTGAGAGTTTTTTTTTTTAAATCAAATATTAGAAAGGATGGCAGTAGTCCTGTTCTGTCCCATCAGTTGGTTGAAGAAGGGCTCACTAAACCAGTCCCAGTAATATTGTAGAACATTTTAGTGTACTTTCTTGTTCCTTATATCCATTACTTACTAATTCATTTGTTCCATTAAGTTTTTGTGTGCTTATTGTATGCTAGGCATTGAAGAAATAGCAATACAAAAAGGAGATAGCATCCCTACTCTTGAGATTCTTAGAGTCTAGCAGGGGATATGGGCTTAAATACAATAGTAATTAAGTCATAATTGTGGAAAAGTGCTAAAAGAAAGAATAAGTTACCGTAGAGCAGTGGTTCTCATTTGAGAGTAATTTTGCCCCTCCCCGGGGATATTGGATAAATTGAAGACATTTCTGGTTATTACACCTGGAGGGATAGTACCACTCGCATCTAGGGGGTAGATGCTGGGTGCTCAGGACCTATCCATACCAAAGAATCAAAATGAACCAAAATTTCAGTAGTACTAGAAGCTGATAAACCCTATTCTAAAATTTATGTAATGAGGAATACTTTCATAAGGAAGTGGTATTTAAACAAAAATACATAGAAGTTTGTAGATGGGAGAGTGAAAGTGGATTGGATGTATAGGCAGAGGGAAGAAAATATGGAAAGATTTAAAGGTTCAAAGGAAAAACCTCTTTTTTGATATATTAGATAACCTGACAAAGGAGGGTATAGAGCAAAGGATACAAAATTATGTTGGAGAGAGGCAGAGGCCCTCTTTTATAAAGCCATTTGAGGTTGTCTATAAAGAACCTAGTGCGACATTCAGAGTATATTGTTGCATCAATAGGTCTGGAGCTCAGAGCCTAGATGATAGATAAAACTTTGAGAGTTCTTTACAATGATGGTATTTGCAGTCTGAATTTATATTATTATTGGTTTGCCAGGTTGTAATTGTTTTTCCTCTAACACTCAGTTACTGGGCAGGTTCAGAAAAGATAGAAGGTTGGGTTCATTCAAGGTTTAGGTTTTGTCAGAGAGGTGTGAAAAAGGATTTTGTGGCTGGAGAAATAGCTACTGTATTCTCTGTAGAAACTCAGACCAGGAACGTTTTACAAACTAAATACTCTTTTTTTTCTTTCTTGGTAGAATGCTGATGATTTTCCAAAATGAAATTTTGGTATTTATCATGACAGAAAAATTTGCTATGAATTTCTAACCATACACTATGAGACAATGAATATTTTCTTCAGAAATAGACTACTCTTGAACCTGAGTTCAACCTGGGGGAGGCGGGTGGGGTTAAATTTTGGAGTAGGTGCTATATGTTGAGTGGTATATTAAATAAAAGTAAAATTGATTACTATATAACTTTGAATTAGAAATAAATAACAGATTCATCTTAGTATAACTCTCTGTGATTTATATTACATATGCAACTGATTCTTTTCTTATGAAGCACAAGCAGGAGAACCAGAATATCTAGAGCAGCCATCAAGAAGTGATTTCTCAAAGCACTTGAAAGAAGAAACTATTCGAATAATTACCAAGGCATCACATGAACATGAAGATAAAAGTCCTGAAACAGTTTTGCAGTCGGTAAGAACTTCTCTTTTAACTCTCTGAACATAGACATCTTCATGACATTTCCAGCAGTGTAATGGAGAGCACCCTGCATAGGAGTCAGGAGAGACTGGGCCAAGAGACAACTCTACCATTAACTTGAACAGGGACTGTAACCCTAACCCCCAGGCGGTAGCTTCCCCAGCTGTATTTTTTTTAATGCCTTTTTTTTTTTTAAGATTTATTTATTTATTTTGAGAGAGAGCATGCACACCCAAGCAGTGAGCGGGGGCAGAGGGAAAAAGAAAATCCTCAAGAAGACTCCCCTCTGAGTGGGGAGCCTGATTTACGACTCAATCCCAGGGTCCTAGCATCATGACCTGAGCCGAAATCAAGAGCTGGCCACTTAACTGACTGAGCCACGAAAGTCCCCCTAAATGCTTCTTTTTAAAAATAAATTTCTGTCTTCCTGCTAGAGAATTTTGAAAAATCATACTCCTAGACTAAATTGATCATTTGATTTGGAATTTAAAAAAAAGAAGTATAAAATTTAGCATTATTTCTCTTTTTCCTTCACCCCTCACTCCATCTTTAGTCTTATTACATTGAATATAAGGTAATAGTTTTCATTGTTCATAGAATATGTTTAGTAACAAAATACTAGAAATTCTAGGTTTGAGAGTAAATGTGATCTTGCAAAGTGGTTTATACATATTTCGGTACAGTGTCTAAACAGAATTGTCATTAATAACCCTCCTGTGTTGTAGCTCTCGATTGTGTCATTTTATAGCAGTAAATTGTGTACATTGGTACTATGTTTTTAGTGAATATGGCCTTCTGAGAGATGTTATTTTAAGAATTTCCTACTACAAAAAACATTCAGTTGCTGTAGTCCCTTCTTTTTATTAGCACAAGCATCTATAATACAGTTTCTCGATAACTAATTTTGGTATTTGAAGATTACCCTCCTAGAAAACTAAAGGGAACAGGACATACAATTTTTCAACAAAGTTTTCTACTTAGTGAACTTGGTCTCAACAATAACCTGCTAATTTTCAATGAAGTTTGTCTTTAATATGATAGGGCCTTGATTAACCAAAATGCTCAATTAATGAGGTATTCTGTTTTGATGAATAATCAGAAATTGCTTTTTTATTTCACTTACTGTGTGAAAAAAATTGATTATATCATTTTACTACAAAAAATGTTTTAAAATAAGTGTATTTTTTTATTCCAATGTTTTGCAAATGCCCTGGAGACTCTAAATGAGCTTGAGATGAACCTCTGCTAACTCTAAAGCAATCTTAGAAAATGTTTCTTGTAATGGATCTCTGATATCTAACTTCTTGGGTTATGATACAAGAGGAAAACTTAGGGTGGTAGAAAGAGTGGAGAAGTAGATACAAAGGAGAAATATTTTTGCATGATCTAAAAATGTAGTTTGCTTGGCCCTTTGCTAATTAGGAATTTTATTTGTTAAAGCCTACCTTATGGTTAAGAAATATGTCCTTTTAACTAATCAGAGAGCCAAAGATACTATTTAGCTTAATACTAGAAACATGATTTTCTTTTTTTAGTTTGGTTAATCATGTATAACATAAATTTGCAGAAACCTGCATTTAAATGCATAATCTGTGTATATATAAAATTATATCTTATAAGCCTACAATCTACTGCTTCACTTTTACTTGAGAAAGGAGGATGGCATTGAGAGATTATGATAGACAGCTAGCATAAATATTTTTCCATTTGGCGTATCTTGTGGAGTATCACCAATAGCCAGAGTTGTTTGTATAAATCCTACAACATATCTAAGAATATGTTAATCATGGCTGTCTGAAGCAGCCTCTTAGTCTCATTATTAGTTGCTTAGGATCATAATAACCACATAATTGGTTTTTCTCCCTTAAAAGGTATACCTTAGAAACTAAAATTGCGTACATGAAAAGAGTGTTGAAATTTTGGGATTAGATAGTCTTGGTTTTTCAAATTTTGGTTTTACTTCTCACTAGTTACACAAACATGAATAAGGTGCTTAATTTTTCTAAACCTAGTTTCTTTTTACATACAATGGAGTTGATTGTGAGATTATTTTTTGAAGGCACCTAGCATGTAGCATAAGGTACTAATTTGCTGCTTCTTTTTGTTACTTTAATACAAACCATTTCACGAACATACATACAATATACTAAATTCCAACCTGAGTTTAAGAAATCCCTCGAGGGAAGCCTGGGTAGATCAGCGGTTAAGCATCTGCCTTTAACTCAGGGCGTGATCCGGGGGTCCTGAGATCGAGTCCCACATCGGACTCCCTACATGGAGCCTGCTTCTCCCTCTACTTGTGTCTATGCCTCTCTGTCTGTGTCTCTCATGAATAAATAAATAAAATCTAAAAAAATAAATAAAAAAATCCCTATAGAGAGATACTCTCTAAATGTTTATACAACTTATGGTTTAGAAGAATGTCTTTAATTTTAAATGAAATATTTTCAAATTTGAAAAATATGAAAAGTATACTTCAAGAAAGAAGCATGTGTAACCCCACGTCTTAAAGCTCCAATCACTTAATATGTTGTTTTGTTTTGTTTTTTTTTCCCATTCTTATTTTTATGTACAGGTTTGGGATCTGTTTTTCTAGCTGAGGTACTACTGCATATACAGTTTTGCTTATATATTGCCTTTTCTGGTTGTAACCGTTTAACATTATAACATAACCATTTCCCCATGTTAAAAATTCTCTGTGAAACACATTTAATGGTTGAGTATTATCCCATTGAGTGATTAAAGACTTACTTATGTAACCATTCCCCCACTGTATATTTGCTTTTACCTTATTATAACTAGGCTGTTATGAATTGAAATATGGAGAAATTTTCATTTCTATCTTTAGAATAGATTCTCTATAGTTAAATTTTACTGGGTTAAAAGATAAGGAGCATATTAAGGGGGTCAAGGTGGTTGTAGTTACATAGCTTTCCAATAGCCGTTACATGAGAAATCACTTTTTAAAACAATCCACTTAAGAGAGTTTAGAGAATTAATAAAAATCTTTGTATTTCAATTATTTGGGAACTTTTATTAACTGAAGCACTTATTAACTCCATTTAAGTTTAGCTATTGCTAAGGTATTTATATAGGGCCTGTCAATACTAGAAAAAAGATAAATACACTTGTACTTTAATGAGCCCTAAAATTCTTTATGTGGGAAATTTTTATAGTACCTTTGGATATGTAAACTTGAGTGATACTTCAGAGTTATTATACTCACCCAAAGTTTCTTCGATTTTTCAACTTGCATCATATAACTTGTCAGTATTACGCTGTTGAAACTCTTCTGTGGTATCTGAAAATGTTTATAAAACATTTTTTCCTAAGTGCAACCTTTTTCAAAGGCAATATATTGTTTTGTAAGGATCAGTATTTTATGTTTCCCAGTTGCTACTTGCTTTAAATTTATATTCTCTCTTAAGATAATATTGTTTTAGATTGATTTGATTGTGAGAAGTGTTTCACTACAGAGTCTAGATAGATCTCCTAATTTACCTGCTCAAATTTCACTCCTTTGGATTGAGACCTAGCACAATTATTCTTCTTTCATATGCTAGAAGGATTAAAAATTATTAATTAAATGTGATGGGCTAATAAGCATATCTCTCTAGGTATGTATTATAGTAATATTATACTATTATAATAGTTATGTTCAAAATGCAATATATATACTGTATATAGTATAGTTATTCAAATACAAGCAGATTAAAATAGCATAATAGTATTATAATATTATTGTCATTATAGAACGTATAATATAGTTGTCATTATAGAATAACTATCAGATATGAGGTATTGAATTAACAGAATATTATCTCTCATGATCACAACAACCTTGCAGGTTGGTTTTTTCCTGAAAAGTTGAGAACTCAAAATAAGGAAACCTTTTCTAAATATGTTTAAAAGTAGCATTTCTTTTAAAAAGGACAGTGTCAGTCTTGGCAATTAGTTTTGTTTTATTGTTGAAACTCTTTTTTGCATATGTACTTCTGGAAAGTCATGAAATGTGCTCATCTCTAGAATTATATTTCAAATTGAAATAAAACCACTTTAATTGCTTTCATCTTGTTTATATCAAAACTAAAGTTTGTCTTTTGCTTTAGAAACCTAAGGCTGCAAATGGAAATTACTTAAGCAAGTTCCTTTTAAGCACCTTAAGTACTTGTGAAATTTGTTCATAGGTAAATAGTGAATATGCTAATTATAAATTTATTCAGTAAAATAAGACCTTTGTGAAATCTGAACACTATTTTGAATGAACTTCATTAGTATAGTTGAGTGACTTCTCTGGATTTCACACTGACTTCTACTCTGTTAGTATGAATTTAGGGAAATTTATAGAATTTGTCACTAAAGAAAAGAGTAAAAAGAAAGAAATCTGATTGAGTTGTTAAAAATGGATGTCACAAAAAAAAATGGATGTCACTTTCCAGCATGTTTTTCAGAAGCAAGAATTCATCAGACACTTCTCTATAAATACATCATACAAGACTCTCAGAGGCTGTAGAGTGAGTTAAATATAATAGAGTCTGAATATAAATTGGATATACAATTGATTATTAGAAAGGATGGAAAAGTAAAACTATAAGAAAGAAAAAACTTACAGACTCTCATGTCTTATTTTGATGGGAGTTATCAAGGTAGGATTTATGGAATTATTAGAATTAAAAAAACAAAAACTTCATCTATAACATATAGACAGCAGTAGAAAATGCAACTCCAGTATTTATTATTTTTAAAGATTTAGGTCCAAAATGCTTTATGGAGGAAAAAAAAAACCTTGATTAAGTAGTTGAAACATAAAAGGAAAGTTAGACTTTGTGTATTACTTAACCATGCATTCACTTCTAATGTTGGTTTTAGGTGGTTTAATTTAATACTAAGCAAATGCAGATATTTTTTAGACTCAGGAATCTCTGCCCTTTATACTTAGTATTTGCATTGTTCTCTTTTCTGATGTTCATACCAATAATCTTTTTCTGCAGAATCCTGAAAATACCACAAGCCAACCACCTTCTAACCAGCAAGTTGTAGAGGTGGCGATTCCTCATGTAGGGAAATTCATGATTGAGTCAAAGGAGGGGGGTTATGATGACGAGGTACCTTTGTTGTAGACCTCTGCACTATTCCTACTTAACTTTGGCTATTTAATACACGTACTTTGGGCATGCTTGCACCTTCACATTTATGTGTATTGCTGCATAACATACAGCTTGGCCACCCATGGTCTGAAATTACCTTACCAACTGCTAACAGAATTTTGAATTTCAAATGAAAATTTAAGTAGAAAGCTTATGGAATTTGTCAAAAGAATAATTTTATGTTCCTGGAGTGAATTCTTTTATGTAGACATATGATCAGTTTATTTTCAGGTTGATAGACTCTTAAATTTTATCTTTTTTATATGTGAAGGAAGGACCAGTAAAGCTGTTTCTGAATAGTAACCCAGAGACTTCCTCCAAAATTACAATCAAGAGATTATATAAGAGTTAATCACCAAAACCAAAAGTGTCACAAAAACATTAATATTATTGTGCCACTGTAAGAAAATATGGGCTATAAGGAGAATAAGAAGCTGTTTTGTATGAGATAGGAACTGGTCAGGTAGATTTTCTGAAGCAGATGTTAGATGTATTGTGACTCTCAGCGTATAATCAAAAAAATGGGTTATAGGTTCAGAACCTCAGAGATGATGGATGCAATCTCTTGATTGCTCTAATACAGTAGCTTCATTGTGCTTTGAGCTGTTCCATTTTACAAATATTTTAAAACATGAACAGCTAAGAATGATAAGCTATTACAAAAACAGACATATTTAACTATTTAATACTTAATAGCAGTGTGTTGTTCCAGTTAACTATTTTATTATCATATTGCTGCCTGGAAATTATGGAAACTGGCATGTTTTTTAATGAAAATGTTAACTTATTGACCAAGTACCTGAGTTACCTGTTTTAGGGTAAACCTTCTGGCATTTTAAAATACAGAATTGTGATTAATCATTTAACACTATCTTTAGTGCAAATGCTTATGCTTTTGGCAGATGCATTTTGTTTTGTTTTTGTAATTGATTGGAGTGACAGTTTAACAGTGCATGTACCCAGGAACTTTTAAGTCATATGGATACAGGGCTGCAGCTCATCACTGGTGATGGTGCCCAGCCAACAGGCCAAAGTGGAGCTGAAATTGAGCTCATGCTGAGCTTCTCAAACCTTAAAGAAGAGGCACTTTTTTTTTTTTTAAACAAAAAGAGTGTTGCTAGTTCTCAGTGGTTTTCAGCACCACTCTCTAATTTGTCAAGAAGGAAGTGCCTTTTTAGAATTCTTTGGTTCAGATAGGATGCCTTTTTGCAATTTGCACAAAGGCACCATAATGGAGCTAGCTGTGGCCCTGTATGGATGATGGCATATTGGATCGTATTAGCTGTAAAATATACAATGGATGATTTATAAAAGTAGTGGAAAACAAAAGACTTTTAACTTGCATGTCAAGAAACTATTTTGGTTTTCGATATATCTTTTTATGTTAACCTTTCAAAAACTCTTACCTATAATTCCTTGTGGCAGATCATGATGACACCGAACATGCAAGGTATTATCATGGCGATAGGTAAATCCAGGAATGTATATGACAGGTGTGGCCCTGAAGCAGGGTTCTTTAAGGTACAATTAATATTCTCATTTAATGTTTTAATGTTTTTAAAATGATCTTCTTAAAATATTTTATTTCCTTGAATTAAATTTGGTTTCCTGTATAATTTCTCTTTTTCTATTTTGTTTTTTTTTTTTTTTAAAATGTTTCTTTTATTTTTTTTTAATTTTTTATTTATTTATTTTTTTTATTGATTAGTCACACACACACAGAGAGAGAGAGAGAGGCAGAGACACAGGCAGAGGGAGAAGCAGGCTCCATGCACCGGGAGCCCGACGTGGGATTCGATCCCGGGTCTCCAGGATCGCGCCCTGGGCCAAAGGCAGGCGCCAAACCGCTGCGCCACCCAGGGATCCCTTAATTTCTCTTTTTCTATCTTAGACACGGCCACCTGATGTTCTGAGGGTTTCTTTTATGCAAGAATCTAAGAGTGATTGTTTTTTTGTTTTTGTTTTTGTTTTTGTTTTTGTTTTTGTTTTTGTTTGGTAACCCAGATAATTCAACCAAAAACAAACATTTTACTGGAGTTACCCTAATAGTGTACCTCTGGGTTGATAGCAGAAATTTGAATTGTGTTTTTATTTGAAGAGAATAAAAGGTATTGATGAGCAAAAGTAGGAACTGAGTAATTGCTTCTGGTATAGTTTATTTTCTTCTCATTGGTAACACTATTAGTCAACATTACAATATATATATTTTCTAAATTTCACTGTCATTTGATTCTAAACTGCTTTCTTCACTTGGTTGTTTCAAATATGATTTGTTCATTTATTTTTATGTTTCTTATTGTCTTACATTTTCTCCAAATTAATTTTTAGTATCCTGGTCATTTCGAGAAATGTGAGACCATCAAGCAGTTGCCTTATTCCATAACCAAATCTTTTTTCCCTCTAATGATGTGGAAATGTTGGGGTTCTGGAACAAATGGTTAAGAAAGAATTCATGAGACACCTTTGGTACAGAAAAGAGGTTTTAGAAAGGGGGTTATATTAAAGCATGGGGACTAGACCTGTGGGCAGAAAGAGCTGCACTGGAGCTTTGAGGGGTGGCTGATTATACACTTTCAAGTTGGGAGGGCATTAGGGACAGTGTAGATTTTAAGGAATTTAGAAGCAAGGTTTCCAGGACCTTGAGGGTAGCTGTTAGGAAAAGGTCATTTATTAGTCTAGTAAAACCTTAGTCATGAGACCTTTCAGACATATATCAGTGGGTTATATGGTTGGTGGGGGGATTGCTAACATATAGCTTGGTGGGGGCAAGTAGAGATAAAAGAAGTTTCCAAAGGAATCTTTGTATATTAAAGGAGACTTACAGGATCCTGGACGTCAGTCAGGCTAATGTTAAGATAAGGTTGCCTTTGCCCTTAGCAAAGTATTAACATCAAGGCAGTTGAGTTCCTAGAGGAAGGTCACTCTACCTATTTCAAGGGCTTGTCAGTGGGCTATAAGTTGTAAGGAAATTTAGTGTTTTTTTTTTTTTTCTTTTGCCTTTGTTCTCCACATCATTTAGTACCAGATCTTTACAGTGTTTTACTTAAAATATTATTGGTTTTATATTTTTTTTTGGTTTTATATTTTTGAAGGGCAAAAAAAACACTGTATGTTTTGTCTTATTTTGATTTACCAAAAACTTCAAGTTGTTTTCACTTCTTGCACTATTAAAAGAGTTATTTTCTAAAAAAACAAAAAGACTTTATTGAGGTATGGTTTACTACAATAAGCTATATGTTCTCTTTTGACCTTAAAAATCTAAAATTTTCCCTTAATTCTCTATGCTCTGCCCCCATCCAACTCAGTCTTCAAAAAGCTATTTATATTCACCATTTCTTTCATTCTATAGTACAAGAAAGGGCTTTGTGCATAGTAGCCTTATATTAATCAGCACTTTTGAGCTTGTTAGAATCAGAGTGACCAGCCATCTTGGTGTGTCCAGGACGGAGGAGTTTTCTGGAATACAGGATTTTAAATGCTGAACTGCCGAAGTTTTGGCAAACTGATCCCAGGATGAGTTGATTGCCCTATTTAGTAAGAACGGTTGAAAAAAACTGCTGTTACTGGAAAAACAAAACAAAACTTTAAAATTCACCTTATTTCCAGGTGGTCTACATTTTCTTTTCTTAAAATACACTGAGTGTGTATATCTTATACAATTTTCATCTATTTCTCTTGGAAAAGTTGTCTGTCATTTAGAGTAACCTTGTCATTTTTTGGTCAAATTGGATATCTTTATGTTGAATTGCAAATATCACTTTTTAGATTAATGCCTGTATATATTTTAAAGAGCCAGCTAATTATATATGCTGCAAACAACAACACACCCCACTCCCATCCCTGCTGCAGTAACAGCTTCCAGTTATTTTATCTAATCGTTTTGGCATGAATTCCATATCTTTCAGTGAACACAGTGCTTGAGTTTTTGTGATTTTTAGTTTACACATTTCCTGTTGAATTCCCTACTGGGGGATATGAACAATAAGCTCTCGTTCTCCTGTCTCCGCTCCCCACTGACAGTTCCCACTGTTCCATCTACACACACACACACACACACACACACACACACAAGTGTGTCTAAAATTTTGTCATTTGGATTAAATCAGAATTCTCAGTTTGTATTATTATTTCTATGTATTCTACTCAGAATTGAGCTGAGTCATAAACATTATTATTTTGGCTCCTCCCCCCCTTCAGCTTTCATTTCCCTTGGAGTTGTTTTATTTTTTGGTTTGCTTAGTTTTCTATATGATTACTGATGCACTTCTAAACTCTCTGCCAGCTGTTTAAATCTCCTCATATTCTGCTGTCAATTTAATGTGCTTGGAGAAATTTATTTTGGAATAGACTTCATGGAATAGACTTCTTCTGGAATAGACATCATCTATAAGTCTATTCCAGAAGAAGTCTATTTGAGAGCTTTGTAACCTGCTTCAATCTACATTGATTTTCTTTTTTTTTTAAATTTTTTTTTAATTTTTATTTATTTATGATAGTCACAGAGAGAGAAAGAGAGAGAGGCAGAGACATAGGCAGAGGGAGAAGCAGGCTCCATGCACCGGGAGCCTGACGTGGGATTTGATCCCGGGTCTCCAGGATCGCGCCCTGGGCCAAAGGCAGGCGCCAAACCGCTGCGCCACCCAGGGATCCCTACATTGATTTTCTTTTACCTCCAGTGTATAACTAATATCTTGGGATCTTTATTCACCATTACCTGGGGATGCCCTTTGTGTCTTGTCCTTTATGTATTTTCTATATTTCCCTTTTTCAGTTTACCGTCTGATTTTGAGGCAGCAGCAAATCTGTATATTTATTTTCACCTACCTGTAATTGATATATATGCACACAAACATATATAATCTTATGTAAATATTATCAGTTATTTATGATTAATGTGTAGTTTTTAGTATAGGTAAATGATTAGCATTTGGAAAATTCTAGCTGATAATATATAATTTTAGAAAATTTGTCATGTAAATAAAGTAACATGTACGCAATGCAGTCATTTGCTAATATATAGATGTCTAAAATAAAACTAGTAATGGCAGTCTCTGCCACTGCCCTATGTAACCACTGTTAACACTGTGTATAACCTTTCTGATTTTTTCCTTTTGTTTATACAAACATGCATATATAGGGAAAAATTTTTTTCATTTTTAAATTTTACTCATATTATTTTGTAACTTAACATCACTCAGAAATATATTGTGGGCATTCTTAAAGTGAAGGCACTATATCTACCATATTATCTTTTCTACCTGCATTTAGAATTCTAAGGTTTAGATACATATTTTCATTTATTATATATTATCCTCTTTATGGACATATATCCTTTGTTTACCCAGGCTGTCATTTCTATTTGAGTTAGTTTATGGTATCTTTTTTCATAAAGAAGTTTTAAAACACTGTGCTTTCAAATCTTTCTACTCCTTTCTGGATTCTGGAGTTTCATTGCCATACAAAAGTCTTCTTTCACCCAAAGTATTACAAGTTTTTTTCAGTAGTTTCTTAAAGCACTTTTCTTAGTAAATTTTTATTTTTATGGATTCAATGTACACACTATAGTAACTCAGTAGCATTTTGTTTGGGTTTTTTACATTCTCTATTAATAAATTTTATTGTATTTTTCTTTTTTGTGCTGTCTTCATCAAGATTGATTTTATGCTTATATTAGCTTTAGTAAATGAATTTGAAAGCTTTTTTTTTTTTTTTTTTTTTTTTTTTTTATGATAGTCACAGAGAGAGAGAGAGAGGCAGAGACACAGGCAGAGGGAGAAGCAGGCTCCATGCACCGGGAGCCCGATGTGGGATTCGATCCCGGGTCTCCAGGATCGCGCCCTGGGCCAAAGGCAGGCGCCAAACCGCTGCGCCACCCAGGGATCCCCTTTTTGTTTTTCTTATACTCTGGTGTGGTTTACATAGGAATTATCTATTCCATAAGAGTAAAGTTAGAACTTATAAAACCAGATGAGCCTAGCCCCTTTTTTGGTTGTAGATTTTTTGATAATTTTTTGGTTTCTTCTATAGTGATTGGCCTATTTAAACATGTTCTGTTTTCTTGGCAATTGATTCAAATCAATATCAGGATTCAGTATTAATTCACAAAATATATATGTAGCACAGTACCTAACATATGATGGCTGCTTCTGTCTTACTGTTTCCGTAAATGAGATATACTATATTCTTAATTTTATTTTGTAATGCTTAGTTTATTATACATAATTACATATAATTATAGTATAGTATGGTAATATAGCTATATTTGCTTTCTGTTGCATTACCAAAAACATCTTTATTGAGTATTTTATATTAGCTTTTTGGTTATGTGAGATGTTTTTCAACTCTGCCTTTTTCTAAAAATGGACTTCCTTATGTATTTTGGTCAGATCAGTTTTAAAGTGTTAATATATGTTTGTCAGTGGTAAACCATGTGATGAAATGTTGTTTTCTACTAATAAAAAGATAAGTTGGAGAATGAAACTTCTATCTGGGTAAGTGGGCTGACTGAGGTTTCGCCTCTT